AGGAAGGAGCTCTCTCCAAAAATGCTCATTTTTCCATTAAGTTTGTATTGACTCTGGAGATAAATGCCCCCTACGGAGGCCATGCAACAGTGTTACAGTTGATTCCGCTGCGTGGTTCGATGCGTTTGTCCCCCCGTCAACCACAGGCGGTGGATGCAGTGGGATGTCTGGTTTCCCTACGACAGTTGCCTGACGATGATCAAGTTTCCTGGTATTTGATCCTCGGATTTTCTTTGTCAGCAGTTCTGTAGAGGAATACTCGGTAGATGGAACTAACCGGTGGTGCGGCGCACTTCAGGACAGCAGAAACCGGCCTGCAAGGCGATGTGAATGCAGTAAGCAGGTGGTCTATAAGCATGATTTGTCCGCTGTCGATATTTTCATGGATGCGTCGATCAGATAATGCCGAACAAAAAATCATGACGGCCTTAGGTAGGGGCAAGTGCGCTAAGATTTTATCGACTGTTTAGAAAGGTACCTCCCTTTGTACCCCACAGAAGAAAGGGAAAAAAATTTTCTTGCGACCTGTCTATTGGAACACCAAGCAATTCACTGGTAGCTCTATGCATGGAAAGGGGGTCATTTGAATCTCGGGATTTATACACTCAAGTTTCCATGTGGCCTCCACCTTATCGGTTTTAGCTAAGACCAGGCCAAAAGCAAGCTTTGAGAGAGCGGAGAGGCAGAAGTGAATCGATCCATTTACAAATCTCTGCAGGGAAATATTCAAATTCAGATTCTAGACAAACTTAATGAAAATTCGTTGAGTGTTCTTCGAAATGGCTCTCCCCCTTTCCGTGCCGGCGCCCCTCAGAGTCCCCCACTCTGGGGAAGAGGGATCGCTAGGGGAACGCGTAGATGCATTCTCTCAGCACGCTTAGCATTCATAGCTAGTTGCCCAGCATCTACCTCTGGCACACAACGATGCTTCTTCGTGTACGAGGCAACAGTACTCTGCAATAAATAACAGAAATGAGTAGACAAACAACGAATCGATTCTTTGCTTATTCCAAGGTAAGAAATACACCTGTAGTAGTAAGTTCTTGAATGTAGTCCAGCCTGCTGCAGTCTCGACCAACAGGTAAGGAGAACGAAGGCATGCTTCTGAATTGAGGGGGGAAGATGTAGCGGGCTAAGCTACACTTCAGCACACCCTAACAGACTAGTTAGCTTCAACTTCTTGAAGAGTTGAGTAACAATTTGTGGAAGCGTAGATCATGCCTCTTTCAGAGTACTATCAGCACGAGACAAGAAGACTTGATGTTGTATGCTCGTGCCGTACATGCATTTTGGTGTTACCAGCCGTACATAGTGTAGTTCTCTGAGGTTTCATCAACGCACACCCCAGCTGTCCCTCTTCCCTGATGCGAGAACTTTGAGGGGCACGGGTGAAGGAAGGAACTACCTTTCTTTAAGAAGCACTCAATCAGTGTCTCCCTACAGAGGCCGCAGGTAGCGTGTTCCAGAGATAATAGAGAAGCGATTACCTTGCTTACAGCTACAGTGCGTGGTAGGGGTGCTGCCCAGCTTCGTGAGGCCATTCATGTTTAGAGAGCGTAGGCTCCCGCCTAATAGTGGGCAATAGGCGGGGATCCCACACTTAATCCGAGACTTTCCTCCAAAGAGATCTCCACTTTTCTATCCCGCAACTCCATTAGCTCCGAAAAGAGAAGAGTGGGACATCCGGGGAGTGTACTGGTGCACCCTCTGAGAGCCTCCAGCATTCAAACCCCTTTACGCTTAGCACCTAGCTCACCGGCACAACAACAAAATGTTCTCACAGTGCTGAGCTAACTGTCCGGTGCAGCATATAGCACAAACCAACAGCCAAACCAATTTGACTATTCTGAGCTTGCTCTAACATTGATATGACCAGTGTAGAGGAAGAGCTAAATATAGCTAAGCCCTCTGTACATAGCCTAATATTCAAGAGCTTTCCAGGCATTGCCACTGTGAATTAACGTCATAGCCCGATCAGTCCCATCATACAAAGTCCTCCAATATGGCGAAACACCGAATCCATTCGCACTCTTGTATTTGGAAATCAGAGAAATAAGGGTTTATGGGCAAGGGAAAACAATGCAGCGCCTCGTAGATGGATCCCATGAGCAACGCGTTCCCCCTACTAGTGGTGCCTCTGTCCTGACCGCCCTTTATTGATTGATGAATGCAATGCAAAAGCAATTAGAATCATTGAAGACAGGTAACTGGTGGGGTACCACATGAGACAAAATCTTATATGGGTACGTATCCCAATGGTTGACTGGCATGCAGCTGCTTTGAGGATACTGCCGAGGGACGGGTGCGCTCCTGTCGAAACTATGCTCACTTGTCGGCTTGTCTGGTTGAGAGCTTCTACATGTGTTCTAAAAGGACAATTAGACGTGTAGTTAGTCCTAAATCAACCCTCCACCCCAGGAGGGTCGAAGCATCTTCACCTATCTTCTCTGGTACCAAGATTCCACTCCACAGCAAATGATGCGGGGCGTTCATCTCACGACGAGAGCAGTCTGCTCATTGCTTCTTTTGGGGCTTCAACTAGCGAGTGCAGGCGAAACCTTGACCTCAATGCGCTCCGTGGATGCCTCTGATGAAACTTTAGGCCCTCAAGAAGAGGAGGCGCTTTTTACCACAACGTGGCTTTATGAGGGGGTTCAAGGAAATCCACTCTTTCCGACGCATGAACTCGAATCAGGTTCATATATTACTGATCCGGATGGTAAACTCCAAAATAACGCTGGCCTGGACAAGCAAGGACAGCAGAATGCTGATCGTACTGCTGTGGTACTTGAAGCAGGCTTTCCCACTGAGCCGCAGCACGAGGCACAGCCTCAATCCCTGCCGCTTCCTCCCGTTACAGGAGTGAAAACGGCACTGTTCGGTGCTGTACTTGTAGCTATTCTTCTGGCGCAAATTTTGAGTTCTTCACGGTTCCGGGAGAAAGACTCCCCTCCACTGTCGGGAAGATTTTCAACACTTTTCCATGAATGGGGTGAATCCACTCAATACTTATTTCAATCTCTGGGCCGCACAACAAGAATAGCATTTTTTGGCTCTCTGTTCGTTTTGTTCGGTGGCTTAGTAGAAATGCGACGCAGTCACTCTGCTCGACAGGCCATCCGCAGTGGAAAACCTTTGTATTTTTTGTCCCCCCATAGTGGCATCGAACTCCTGGCTCTCAGTGTACTTGTATTCGCCATCTCACCGATATTCACCCGGTATATGTCATTAAAGACGGTAGCACTACCAGCGGCTCTTGTTGGCCTAGGTTTTCTGATGAAGAGTTACTTCAAAAGAAGGAGGTACCTGCGGCAACTGGCAAAAGCTGAAGCAGACAATGCAGCATTTAGTCCAGCTGGAGGCTTGGATGCCACCAATTCAGCTTCCAGACATAATTTACCGGACACCCGTGTACCATGATTGCAATAAGTAGGCATCCTGTGGCTGTGTCCTACAGCTACGTGCTTCTCAGCATCCCTCCAGACTAGGCCTCCAGGGGTAGCGAGCCTCTGCAAGAACAGGTTCCGCAAGTCTTCGCTTAGATTGTACAACTTTGGCCTAACGCGTGGATACTCGTGCGAGCGCTTTCGCTGCCCCATTCCTTATCGTCCATTGGGGGAAAAGTATCAAGATTGTGATTTATTGGCGTTATTCCCGTATGTGTGCTGTACATGAACCAATATGTAGAAGATCCTGTTTCCATGTGACGCACGACTTGTGTTTAGGAGCCACAACAAGCACGTAGGTTTGTGGAGGCTGCCCACAGGTTGATTCGTACAATTGTTCGACAAGTCTGTTTTTGAAGGTTTTTGAAACACCCTGCAGTAGGTGCATTTGTCTCGCGAGGCACAGCCATCTGACAGAAGAGGGCAAGTGGCAATCTGCATCTGGCCTACTAATGCAGAGGCTCAACATGCACCCCAGGAGGGAAGAGAGGCAACGGAAAGGGGGGGAGCACATGAGAAGAGAGTAATATGAATGCCTTTTCGCCGCTCTTCCTTCTCCACCCTAGGCGCACTGAACGCACATGAGGCAGGAGGGTGCGAACTACGGAAAGGCGCGGGGAAGCCGTGGCAGAGCGACGGACGTACCTGGGCAAAAGGAAAAACAGGCAGAGATGTGAGAAGTAGTGGAGGGGCAGCTAGGGGACACGCAGCACACAAGGGGGCGGGTAGAAGCGAAGGATGGGCGAAGGGATTAGACGCATTTGAACATGTGGGAAGGATACATAAGCAGATGGGGGAAGGAGCACGCAGGCAGTGCCGAAGAGGATATGCGAAAGTGGACACACGGGGTCAACGCGGCAAGAATACTTCCTCTATCACCTGCTGTTTGGAGCATGTGGATAATGTCAAATATGAATATGCAGGCACCACAGGAAAGGGGTGAAATAGACAGGGGACAGCGAAGTGCAGCTGTCTTCGTCCTGCAGGGGTCCGGGCCCTTGCTTTCAGAATGCGTGTCTGTCGCAGGAGTGTCATGGGGGTTTCTCTACATGAAATCATTAATTCTAGACGTCAATAGGCTCTAAGGAAACCTAAGAGTTTGCCAAAAGATCTTCCAAGGGCTGCCCCTGCACAACCCTTCATCCTGGCCATTCCTAGAGGACGACAACAAGTTAAGTCGACATAGAGGGTAGTAGAGCAGCCTGAGAGGCAATAGGAGAAGGCAACGTGAAGTATCTGGTAACCCTGTGAGAAGCTCCACGAGCCAAAAAATAAAGGCCTTTGAGGCTGCCGCGCCCCTCTGGCAAAGCATGCCCACAAAGACATGACAAAACGCCTCTTTTCAGGGTGACGTTTGCAGGGCAAGTACTACTGCTGCTGGCGCTGCTTCTCATGCAGCTGTCTTTGACCTTGCCGATGGTGGTGTGCAGTGCACAAAGGCCTCCTGCGACAGGAACTAAGGCTCTCAAACCCCCTCATGTGGGTCGGCCATGCGTGCTGCAAGCACTCGAAAGCCCCTTTTTCTACTGGGGCCTTGCGTATTTCAGTGTGCGTCTATGGGCTGCATGCACCCTGTGGGGACTCTGCTGCATTCGTGTTTGCCTTGGAGGGTTTTCTTGCTTTAGTCACTTCCTTTGGCACACATAGCAAGCACACCTCGATCCACGGGGTACATCGCACCCAACGAGCCACCTCGCTGAATTCACTCCCACAGCGTCTCGTGTTTTCAAGAGCCCTTCTTGAAGGGCGTCTCTAAAGCCCCAAAAGACCTCGAGTGACCTCAGCCTCAGACGCTCCCCTATCCCCTCAATCCCCTGGAATGTGCGTCCCGCCTGCTCCTCTAGTCTAAAAGTAGGAGGGTGCTTGCACGGCTAAAGGTGTGCATGCATTGCATGTGTGTTGAGTCTTGCCTCGACAATGGCATCTACAGCCTGCTGATTAACAGCCTGAGACAGGTGGTAGAGTTGGTTTCTCCATCTGCTAAGGTACAAGCGCTCTGCTTCCAGATGGGCAGTCTCCTCCTCGACAAGGTTCCGCAACACAGCGGCATCCTGCTTCGCCTGCGCCATCGCCGTCAGCGCCAAACGAGTCCGATCGTCAGACACTGCAGACGCATGCACAGCAGCCGCAGCGGGGCCCCACAACTCGAATACTATATGTGGCAGCGACACCCCCCACTAGCGGCAATAGTGGAAGGGCTGCTGCAGCCTAAGCTGCACGAGGATGCACAAGAGGACGGCCTCTCTCTAGAAAGGGCAACGCCATCCACTTAATCCCGTTCTAAAGGGCAATTTGCTCGAGTCAAAGGCTTCAAAGGCCTGCTGCTCTAAGCAACCCGCCATCGCAAGGCTACCCCGGATTTCTCACGCGTCAGCCCCTTTCTTCTAACCGCACGCCCGACTCATACAAATGCCAACTCCCACGTGAGCGGGGGAAATGAGGGGGAGGGAGGCAGGAAAGGAAGAAAGGCCTTCAAGCCCCCTAGGAGGATTGAGAAGCTCCCCCTCCCATGTTGCAGCTTACAGCCGTCTACTATACCGGGGAAGAGGAGGCCGTCACCACGGCTCGAATCGTGGGAAAACACGAAGAGGGCGTAGATGCCAGCAGCGAGGCGCTTTTTGTAAAAGGAGCAGAGAAGGAGAGCGAGGAGCCTAACGCTTCGCTCTCTGTAGCGGTTGTTAGCGAGCCCAGTCCGCTGGGAAGCCTCCCAGCGAGTCCGCGCAACTTCCTCCGCTACTTTGCAACGCCCCCAAGCAGTAGAAAAAAGCATCATGGAGAACGACAGCTGACGCATGCGCCAACGCGATACTGTGCTGTACAAAGAGAGAACAAAGAAAGAGGGGACTAACAGCGCCCATGAACTCATACCAGGCAACAAAGACGAGGGGCAAGGAAAAGGAGTGGATATGATCATCACATCATCATTCTACGGTCGAGTGACACTTAAGAAGCTACAAATTGCACAACAGCGCTCTAGATGTAAATATACATATGAATATATGTATAGATATACGTATACATACGAGGTATCATTTCACCCTGGCTATCGTTTACCCTTCAAGTTTTGCGATTCCAGTCCCGACTTTGATTGCCCTTTGGGAAGTCTCATGCAACAGTCTTTGCTGTCGCTCGATGAACTTGGTGATTGTCTGTTGGTGCTGTTGAGATTCTTCTTTCAGCTGTCTCTCGAGGGTCTGAGCACGTCCTTGAAGAGTCTCGCGCTCCTCAGCCAAATGCTCAATCGCCTCAAACGCCTGAAAGGGGGCCCCCCGAAAGAAAAAATGCATGGGCCCCCAACTGTGCTCCAAGGGCAAGCAGGGGGCGTTCTTGGCTAGCTCTGAGACAAATGAAGACAAGGCGAATGCGCAGCTGGCTGCCTCCGGGAAACGCAAGAGAGGGGGGGTGTATGTACACCCCCCAGGGTCCACGGTGTGCGTGGCGCATGCAAGGCGTAGAGAGGGCGGCTAGCAGAGGGGAAGCAGGAGGGCGTTTTTGTGGCACTTGCATGCAACGCACTGGGGTAAACGACCGCTTTGGAGGCAGGGTAGACGGAGGCCTTTTCATCAGCAGCTGCAGCTGCCAGCATCAGCTTCTTCTGGGAAACTCCTGACTGAAGTGGAGGAACGGGGGCAGTCAGTGGCAGCTCCTTCTTAGGCTCAACTGGCGATGGCGGAGTTGGAGGAGGTGGCTGCAGAGTTGGAGGAGGTGGCTGCAGAGTTGGAGGAGGTCGCTGCGGAGTTGAAGGAGGCATCTTCTCCTTAGAAACAGAGACAGTTGGGGAGGAGGAGGGAGGCTTTGGAGAGGGATAAGGGGCGGCAAGACTGGGGGGTACACTGGCAGCGGCAAGGGTTGCCTGCTGCATTTTGAGGAGATCTGCTGCTTTTTGCTGCTGATCCTCCACTGCCTGGCGTATGAAGCGCGCCGTCTCTTGTATTTCTTTCTCTTTCTGTTCCAAGAGTTTTTCGAGCGCTTGCTTCATCTCCAGTCTCTTTCTCTCGCGTTCTTCTCTCTCCTGCTTCCTCCTGCTGGCCTCCCCGTGAGCCTCTCTTTCATGGGAAGACGGCACCGCTGCCTGCTTCGCTGCGACGGCTAGAGCCTTCCCCTGCTCCTCTTTCTTCTTCCTCTCCGCTTTCTTTTTCGCCTCCTTTTGCTGCTTGGCCCTTTCCAGAGCCAAGTCCACCTCTTTCTGCGCTTTCTCCATATCGCGCATCAGGGCAGCCAAGCGTTCCTTCCTCTCCCTCTTCCTCTTCTCCTTCGCTGCAGCCCTGCTGCTTTCCTCCTCTCCCTTCGCCTTCCGCTTGCTCTTCCTACTGTCTTCCGAGCTGTCTCGGGAGGTGCTGCCTTGAGAACTCTCCAGCTCTTGCAACCGTCGCCTTGTTGCCTCCACGGATCGAGGGCTAATCTGCAACTCGCCTGCTGCAGCGGCCTTTTCACTGTCAGTCCCCTTCTGCTTCTTCTTCGTTTTCTTCTTCCCGGAGTGCCCTTTCTCCGTCTCCTGGAGGGTGACCTCCTCGTCTCCCCTAGCATGGCCCTTTCCCTCCCTCTCGCGGATGCCGCTGTCTTCGCTTGCCGTGTGTGCCTCATGTTTCTTCTTTTTACGCGATTCCTTGGCTGAGACTTGTGCATCCACAACCGCTGCGGAAGGCGAGGAGCTCTCGGCTTCCTGAGTTCAACAAACAGGTCAGACACCCCATGGCGGATCGCAATCACCAGCCACTAAAAATCTCTTCCCCTAGTGAGCGGCCTTAGCGTAACAACGATCTGTGCTCAGCTCCAACAATAGCGAGCTTAATTACACTGCGTCGGCAGCGGCAATTTCATGAATGGTGCATCATCTTGCGGGTGGTAGGGGTCACGGTTGGTCGGTTCGGTTTAAGCGTAGATACACTTCAGCCGAGACGATTCAGCAACTACCCTAAGAGAATTACGTTCTATACGTCAAGCAGGCGGCTCAGCAGCATTGATGTGGCCCTCAAAAGCAACGGGAAAAGATACCGCATCATGGATCACATGCTGCTGCACCTTGACAAAGAAGCCTACCTGCGGTGCAGTCTCTCGCTCTGCTGGAGTCTCGTCGTACCCGAACCAGCTCCATATGCCCCCCCCGCCCGTCGTTGGGGTGGCGGGGGGGCCCTCGGGAGCTGGAGGCTGTTCCTCAGGGGCCTTTTCATCTGAATCACTAGGTTTTGTCTCCTCCTCTGGGGTGTTCGAGTAACCCAGGAGAGACCACATGGCCGCGGGAAGAGGACAAAGAGACGACTAGGAGCGCAGCAAGGTGCATGAGAGCCAGAGAATGGGAGGAAGGAGTGGATGGAGGGCTGCGAGGAGTCATAGAGGCGGGGAGGCGCTCAGCAGGCGGGAAATGACAACGAGATCAGGAGAGGGGTAGCGGCGGGTGTGCAACTGTATGAGCGAGGGGTGGAGAGGCGCCAAAGAAGAAGCTACAATAACCGGCGAAAGACTAGCGGAGGCGAAGGAAGCAACGCTCATGGGATGAACCCCTGAAACCGGATCCGCGGGGACCGTTACGTGAAAGCTAGTGACTGTCACGGCCACTGGCTTCCTCCCCCTGGCTGCGCCGAGTCTGAGAAACTACAGGGAGACACCGCTTCTGAAGCTTTGCTCTACTGGTATGTACAGCTACCTGCGGGCATACTAAACTCCCAAACCCCCGAAGGAGCAGAGAAGAGGGGCCCCCGCGTTCTGCTCACTGCGTCCGTGGAAGGAAAGCCAGAGAAAGCGCGAAGAAAGAGCAAATTAATGATGGAAGTCAAATTAATGAGAAAAAGGGATTAGGAATCGATAAAAAACACACGAATTGGCGCACGAGTCCTTGGGCCGACGTTTGCAATATTGTTAAAACAATGCGCCTCCGCTTGAAAACCAACGCTTGTTGGGGTGATCTGTGCTGCTCAGCACACCACTTGTTGAACGCTCAGTGTAAAGCTTAAAAAATACTTGACTGAGGGGCACTCTCAAGGGGAAAAAAAGAAAACTGCCGAAAAACAAGCAAGTACGGGGGCCCTGCTCGGGCGCTATTCTTCTACCTTTTCTTTGTGCCCAGCTACACAGCAACAAGACGAGGAATAAAAGCACTTGCATAAAGCAATGAATGCACTTCCTTTTAAATACTTAAAATAAGAAAACGCAGCTCTTTAGCCGAAATTTCACTAACTTTGGCCGACGTTTCTGGATAATCTTGTTTTGCCTAAACCGTGCATTCACCAAATCAGGTGTCAGCGGCTACCGCCCTTTTCCATTTGCCACTCCCTTTCTGGGTCTTTTTCTTATGTTTTAACCTCTAGGACGCTATATTTTCCCCGCATTCTCTATTCTTTGCACAAATAGCACAAAATGCAACTGACTGTACACCGCACGGGGCTGCTGTATTTACTTGTCTTATCGCTGCTTAGCATGGCAGGAGCAGCCTCGACACCCTCATCTGAGGAGCTGCAAAAGCAGCTGGATTCGGCCGCGCAGGTGCGTCAATCCCCTTGTCCTCCAGTAGATCTGGTCTCGTGCAGTCTTTACGCATGTATTTCCCCTTAGAATACTGTGGGCTCTGCTTCCATTGGCAGGCATGTACCAGATCCCATCCTAAGCAAACAGAAGAGCGTTTGTAGAAACCCTTTTTCCTGTTTGTGCATGCTGCTCCGGCCTAGAAGACGATGAAGGGACAAACGCCATCCATCTTTGAAGCCGCACTCTGAGCATTTGTTCTGACTTGTACCGCTTTTCTTGAGATCTGTGTGTGCCTCTTTCTCTGTTTCTTCTGTGTCTATGGGTTTTTACGTTTCCCATTTCATTTATTTCCTGGCGACGCTTCCTGGATACTGAATGACGGTGTGCGCCTTGCGGTTTGTGACTCTCAGACTGTAGATTTCTCTCATGTCAGTGGCTCGGAGACCCCCGATACTGCGGAGATTCGTGTTCCTCCTAACTCTACAGTTGCAGTTCGCTTGAGCTGCGTTGGCGGCTACAGAGGCTTTCTGCTTTCCGGTCACTCTGGCCTCTTAGCTCTCACAGATGTTCCCCACAAATCCCTTACTGCTGAGGAAGCCCGCAATCTTCTGCAGGAGGAGCCAAGTCTCCCAAGCGGTATTAAGGCAACGCAGCCTGTACCTTTTGCAGGTATAGTAACTGTCTCGCTGTTGTCTATTGCTTGCTCGCTTTCCCTGGGCTGTCCTGACTGCCTCTCCGGGGTGTACCGCTTGCTCTAATGTTCTCTTGCCTTTTCATCGAGTTTCTTGTTTTCGCTCCCACGTTCCTTTCAAAATAGAGCTGTGGGTTTCTTCTCCACTTTAGAACAAGCGGTGGGACGGAGCAATAGATCTAATCAGGAGGCAGCCCCTGTTGGAGCTCTTGTACAAGCAGCCGCCGTGACGGGAACTCCCCCCTTTTCTTCGCCGGGACCATAAAACTCTTCAGTACGGATCAAGGAGTTCATGTTTTGGTGTTTGTGGTGTGTTCTCAGGATCACAGGGTAGCGGTTTAGGGATCGTGGGGGCCCCTGTTCCCTTCTTGGGCATTGTCCACGCAGAAACCCCCGGTGTATATACTTTGCTGTACTCCATTATGAGGGCATGGGCCCCCAACAACGGCTCGCGATATGCCCTCAAAATTCATGTAGAACCCTGAAAGCTTACGAATTCGCAGCTCCCAAATTCTGATTGGGAGCGCCCTCTGTGCTTCATCACCCTCACGCTGCTCAGTTCACAGGTAGCTGCAGTAGCGGGCCGCACTCAGCTCGCGCGGCTGCGTCCTACTGCGTCTGCAAACGCTCTTCAGTGTTTCCTGTCTGTTTATCACAGCCAGATGCATTTTTGTGGTTGAATACAGGTGAACTTGAGTGAGTGCAGTAGGGCTCCCGCAATCTTTCATGCGTTTTTCGAGCCAATGGCTCCTGTGTGCCTCTTGCCATTCTGACTTCTTGAGGTTGAGAGACATGTGATTGTTACTTTCTCCCGCAAAACGGCTATGTATCTAGATAATAACAGCTAGCCTTCACGCCGCTTGACATTTAGACGGCAGGCGATATGCGGATACTGCATGATGGGGAAGACCGTAAGGGGCGTATGCCCCGACGATAGGATTGACCACCCCAAAACTCTGAACCTCCATGGGAATTTGGGCAGCTACTGAGCCCTGATAGTATATTTGGATGGCCTCCCCGCGATCCCGCGGCCAATCCCAAACAAGAAATATGCTTTCTGCATGCTTTTTGTATGCCAAATTGGGGATCCGTTCAAACTACAAGACTTAGAAGGGAAGCTACCTTATTTTAAATAGGAGGGTAGACATTTTTTTAGATTTTTATCTCCGCGAAGAGCAAGTCTTCCTCTGACCTCCGAGTACAGCAGAAAGCGTCCTCTCGCCGGAAGGCAAAGGATATGCGTATTCAAGTTATTTCTCAAGGGCCGTCAAAGGGGTGCTGCGGCGATTCAGTGCCGTCAGTAGTATTTTTGCTGAAATACTGCACTGCGTTATGTATCGTCTTCTTGGCCCCTGAGTGCCTTAGGGGACTACCAGGCGTTGAACTACGGCAGGGGCCGGAGCACGACAGGCTAGAGGGAGACCAGGCAGGGGGCTCTTGGTACGCGGACAAATATCAGCTACAGCCACCGATCAGCTTCAGAGCCATTCTTCAGCATCTCTCCTAACGAAGCCCGGGAGTCGTAGTGCGGTTTATGGCTCTCCCTATTACCGTAACCCTCTAGCACTTTTGTTCCGGTTCTTTGTGGAGATTTTCAGGGGGGGATTCCTTTACCTGAGACCCTTTTATGCGCAAGTCGAAGAAGCAAAAGCCGAGGACGCTTATGATCCTGGAATTGTCCAGCAGGCCTGGAGGGGCAGTGGTCCGGGAGTACGGAATATAGATTATGTGCAAAATGATGTTTTGTCGGGGCTGTTCGAAACCAAATGTGGGGAGAGACACAGAGTAAACGACATCCCACAGGTCTTGAATGACATGAAGAAGAGGCACAATTAGCCATGAAGGCTGAATGAGTTGACGCGCATCCCGATAGCGTGCTGGTCCCCTGGGGCGTAAGGATGCGAAACGGCTGTCCTATTAGAGCCCCCTGATGTTGTTTGTCCTGTCTTTTGCTTACCCCTTAAAGTATATTGAGAACAATATCTAAACTAGACTCGGGTAGAAGTAAAAGAACTGTGCGTGTCCTTTCTCCAAGTAGTAGTAGCCAGATCTAGGGCGGCATGGAAGGCGAGACCCTCCAGACGACTCGGGCTCTGTTGGAGCGGACGTGAGGGTGTGAGATCAGCTCATCAAAACATTCTTAAAGCAATGCTTGTGCGCTTATATGTTGCTCTAGTAATTATGATTTTTTATTTCAATCGGAGAAGGCGGTTTAGGTCCTGTGTGGCTCCGGTATGCGTGCAGCCGTGGCTTGCTCGGGTCCCCCCCTCCCCGCTGTCGGTAGCGAGCTGTACACTATTTTAACGTCCCTCTATACGACGTGTTCGGGAGCCACAACATTCTCATTCACGTTTACTGCTATATCTTAACAGGTGTTGGGGCCCCCTATACTGTCTGCTCTCTACTAACAATGCGGCAGCTCCTCTCCAGCCTTCTCGGAGCCTCATGCGCTCTGGCCCTGTGCAGCGCGGCTGCAGGCAGCGAAACAGAGTCACCGGTTCCTGTCCTCTCTGAGGTATCTGCTGAGGGTGGGGAAACAGAAGAAGAAGACTTTGGGGTTTACTTGAAGTTTGAGGGGGACGATGTTGTCGTCAGCTTGCCGCCCGGAATGGCAGGCTTCGGCCTTGAGGAGCAAGAACAAGGTTTTCTTATGGAGCCTGCTGAAGAAGGAGAGGAGGGCGCAATCAAGAGGGAGCTTTGCTCGGGGTATAAATGCGTAAAGATCCAACCAAGAACAGGCAAGACGTACAAGAAAAAGAAACACCACTACAAGAAGCACAAGAAGTATGTCGTTCCGCAGAAGGCCGTTGCTGTCCCCGTCCCTCGAAAAGAGCCAGAACCAGAGCCAGAGCCAGAGATAGTCCAGTTCGTCCAGCAGCCAACAAAGCAATACCTTAGGGCCCCTTGCTTTGCTGCGAGCACCACGACAACAACAACTGCTCCACTCCCTTGCGCTCAACCCCCCGTGACGAAGACCATCGACACCAGCAACATGATACAGCGGTACATGGTCAAGCCCACCTACATTATGGAGCCTGTTCAGCCTTCTTACAATAAGGGCTACTAAGCAAGACAGTTGCATAAGCAGAGGCCTACTTCAAGAGAGGGCACTCGCGTTGGAGCACTCGAACTTCTGTGTGCGAAGCTTCGTATGAGATACCCTCTCAACAAGCGTTAGATGACAGCACATGGGAAAGCGCCCAGCTCTAGATCCTTGTTCGTTTCCATTTAATATTTCAGTGTGTGTATCCGTTTAGCCAAATCAGCACCAGCCATTCCATTTTGAAGGGCTCGTCTGTTTGGTAAAAGGACGGAGTTCCCATGGCCCCAAGGGCGTTAATGGGCCTTGAGGATTTTAATACTTCCAAGTGCACCCACTGCAGGGTGGTGTCGGAAATGAAACGATTTAAATACCATAAACTGTTATGCTTCGTCTAGTAGTATCTTCTGAGTAATACGCCTCGTAAGTCTACCGAACGATTAGCTGAGTGCTGACAAAGGACTGAACCCTATGTCTTAGCGATAAAGCATTGGGCAGGGTGTCGCAAGGCACTGAATAAAGGCGCGAAAGGGGTGGGACAGGGATGGCACACTGTCTTGAGGCACAGGCTGGTTAAGTGCTCATGTAAATTATATGTCCTTTTCTGCTTGAACTTTCAAGAAGCTTCCATGTCGTTCCTTCGTGTTCTAAATTTCTGTGTCACACCACTCTTCTACGTAATTAAATCCTCGTATTGTAGTATTTTGTCGCCCTCTGTGGCTCTACTGCATTCAACTGTTGGTGATGCTACTCCCTCGTGGCCACCTGTCCTCATTCCTGGCATCGTTGACAACGATTGAAACACCCGGGCGCAGCTTTCAGAGCTCATGCAGTTAAAGCGGCGACCCAGAGTTCTAAATCTGTACCAGAACGTTTGGAAACGAATATGGAGGAGTGTCTTTTACAGAATCTCCTTTCGTTGCCTTCATTCCCCAATATTCTGCTCCGCTGGTAGAAAGGCAGCTGGCATGCTCATGGATGCACCCTCTCGTCACTTTGGGCACCCATTTGCTGATGCGCAGAGCAATTTACTCCAAGTGAAAGAAATAGGCTGTAGCTCGCTGCTGCAGGTAATACACAAGTAAATGACACCCAAAGAGCCAATCGTTAACAAAGGCGTACGTATTGTGACTTTTGCACAAGAATCCTGTATCGTAGCGTGGCTTATCATTGATGCCCCCGGAGCAAGCAGTTAACGACAGCATGCTGTAAACACCAAGCCTACAGCATCGCTCAGAGACAGCTGCAGTTTGCCCAGTCCGTGCAAAAGCATATAACATGTACCATGACAGAGTTTACTCTGAGGTTCCTTGATTGGGAGCTCAACTCTGTAGCTTGATGCGCGACCCTACATCCGATTATCTGGACTGGAGGATTGGGAAAGAAAACCCTGATCCTAATCGATAAAACAAAAGTCCAAGACTACTATCAATGCCCCAACCAATCCGTGCAAGCACGCCGTAAACCAGAATCCTTAAACCTGCATGCTAGTGTATGAATTCTACACTGTAACCCCGAACACTCTGTAGAGCATCCGTTTTGACGAAGCTGGTACTCTAATCGTCCAAACCCTAAACTCCGAGCCCTAATTAGCAAATTGTAAAATAGAATACCAAAATACTGTCCCATTTGTACTTTTAACGTTGAGCGTAATACAATCTTGACCCCTAGCACTAGCTGCCAGCAGCACATGCAAATAGGGCGCCACCGTGCCATGAATATCTACTGTAAACTCTATGCCTTAGACGACGTATTCTTGCGAATACACTATAAACTATCAATCATATGGCATGTGATGGAGGAGGAGTGCATTTTGGTCTTCTTTTCGACGCCAACGGGTAATCTGTTCGCCCCTGTGCCAGTGTAGCGACACCTGAACCGTAGATTCTGAACCCTGCATTCATCGCGTGTGCCACCAGCCAGATTCCCGGATTTGATAGGGAAAGGAATGATGACCAATTAAGCCCTAAAACCCAAAGCCGAACTATGGGCTCAGCACATGTCCGCCCTCAAGAAGCAGGTATGCAAATCCGAATTCCAATTGCCGACAGTCCCCCATTTCTACGCCCACCCGCTTCACACCCGCGGTTCTTTCAGACCCAAAGGCGCATGCCACTGCTCCTTCGGCTGCCGTCAAGCTCGAAATCTCACTGGCTGGTGTATGCGCAGTAGAAGCCACCCCCGTCGGAGGGACTTTACTCCTGAGCACCGGCGATAGGTACAAGGGGTGCGTTAGCCCCTACGTGCAAGCCCCCGAGCTTAGCGCTCTGGAATTCAGATTTCTGCCCTCTCTGAAAAGTCCTCCGGATCAGTCGAGAGGCGTCTTGTCGAAGCTCTCTAGAGATGCGCTCGACCTATGCATGCGCCTCAGACCCGTCGATTCTACCGGGGTTCCATCAGGGAGAGGCCTTCTTCTGCTCAAGTAATCTCTTCCCTCGCACCCCTTGCTTTGATTCTGCCGCCACTGCGCCATCCTCCGCTCTGCGCACTTTCTCCAAAAGCCGCTCCGTAGTCCTCGCCTGCACGTAGATGCTGCGGGGATGAGGCTTTGCGTTCGAGGCTTTTTGTCTTAGGGCTGGCCACTGTTTCTGTGGGACGTTCCATAGAGGGCGTCGCCAGGGGCCTGGTGTCTTCATAGAACTCCGCAAGGGCGGAGGACTTGCCATTCACTGGGGTAAGACGAGAGGGAGGGCTTTTTAACGGAAAGAACCGCCATTAAGGGCCATTCCTGAAGACTGCGAAACGGATGTTTCTTCTAAACTCTGTGTGCCCTGCTGAGTAGACAGACACCTTATGAACCCCTACCTAGAGGGAGAGAGGCCTCCCTCCCTTAGTTTCGTGAGCTTGCTCTCTGCGACCAAAAAAATTCCAAGCCCGCTCCTGGCCTCATTACTCCGTCTGCCTCCCTCCGCCTCTCCCTCCGAGGCTGGCTGCGCCTCGCTCAGGTGTCTGGCTAGACTGCTTCTTGCACGGACCCTCGCGTTCGCTCTTTCTCCCCGAGCGCCTGCTGGTCTACGCGGAGTGGGTGCAGGGGCGCCGTGTGCTCGTGAGGGGCCCCTCGCCTCTTCCGAACGCGCAAGCGCATGAATTTTTTTTCTCTAACCGCCGACAGTCTTCTGCGGAGACAGAAGGCAGCCTGCCTGAAGACCTCCTTGCCTCACTCCCGCAGGGGGAGGAATCGACTCCACGGCAGGAAGCGCTGAGGCAGGAGAAGTGTACCCGCAGCCTCTTCCGAGGGGCGAACCGAAACAGGGGATCACGAGACTCTGCACACGCAGCCATCAACGCCGATGACAGTATCGCGTCGTACTGCAGCAGCTCTGCTGCGGCAACGTGTGCTGGGGGGGGCGGGCATGACGGCGCGCAGCAGCCCACGTGGAGTAAGTTTTTCCTGCCCGCAGTAGCTGCTGCCGAGGCTCAAGCGCTGGAACCTTCAAGCTGTACACCCTTAGTGCTGTGTGGGATTGCGGCTTGCAGACGCGGCGGAGTCTTCCGACGATATCTGGCCAGACGAGGCAGAAGGTGTGCATTTTTTGCCGCTGCATCTTTTGCTGCTGCTACGCAGCAACGTCTGCTGTAAAACTTGGGGCCTGCACAGGAGTCGGTTCGGAGGGTGGGGGCAAAGTAGGAAAGCCTTGCTGTCGCGTTTTGTGTCTATGCAAAAGACGCAGTAAAGTCGGCGGCTGTTTCCTCCTTAAGCGGTTGGACTTTGGGCAAGAGAGGCTTATCAAGGGCTCCTGCTCCCGAATTCGCATGCGCATGCACTGCTGCCTTTTCCGGGGGGTGCTGCTGCTGCTGTTGCACACCCGTTGTAGCCCTATTGGCAGTGCTGTCTGTGTGACGATTGCAGCGGTCCACTGGTCGCCATCAGAATTGGTGTGTTGGCTACGCCTCGCTTGCAAGGAACTTCGCAGCCACCAGCTTCCCAAGGGGTTCATTGAGGCTCTCCTTGCGCGCCGAGTTGGAGGTAAGTTATTGTCGCTGAATGCAGTATTTCTGCCGCGTAGCTGAGCGGCGACACTAGGAAGGCGTCGCCTTTCCCCTCGTACGTCCGGCACCCTGGAGGGCCTCCCTCTCTTCTCCTGTGGGCTGCCTTTTTGTGGGGTCTGGACGCTTGCTTGAAATCCGCTTGCGAGGGTTGCCGAGTGTGCGGTTCGCGCGTAGGGGAGGAGTTTCTGTGTCTGACTGCTGGAACGCTTAAAAGCCACTTTGGTCTAAACACCTTTGGAGGCCGCAACAGGGTCCTTACCTTCGTCAAGCTGCTCAAGTAAACTGTCAGATTAGTTGGGAATGGGCATGCGTGTAGAGGCGATCTCGCTTGAGAAACTTTCGAACCTAACGAGTTCAGTGGCTGCTTCGGCAGTCCTTCTGACACGCCTCGAGAGGAGGCTATGTGCAGTCAGCTCACGCTGTCTGCAGACGTTTTTCTCAAACAGAAGGGCCTCGTTGCTCGCAGTCCTCCCTAGCCACAGACGCGTAGTAGTAGACACCCGCTTCTGCGTGGAAAGCTGTTTTAAATGCGTGCTTGCGCGGGTGTGTTGCTGCAGGCTGCAGGCCTCTCGGCGACGGCGCATTCGCCGTTTGCTTCTCTCACCATCAAACAACATTTTCAGCATCGAGTCTGGAAGTATCTGCTTCCTTGGAAGGACCCCTGGGGCACACGTGGCTCCCACGACCCTTGACTCCCGTGTGTCTTTTTCAAAAGCGTCTCGGCTGCATGCTCGCCAGCGTGGGTGTGCTGGACTTGTATTTCCGAAGGCTGAACGGGGTGTTTCGGAAGGTGATAAAAGGCACTTCCCCCATCCCCCTTTCGCTCCTCAGGGGGCCAATAATATCCCCCTGCGCGTGACAGCAAGGCAGACGAGTGAGGAGGGCCCCCCCAACCCGGGAGCTCTCATTCCTTTCGAGCAGCTACAATTTGTACGATACTTAGGGGGGCGAAGGACGAGTGTTTATTACGGCTTCTGGTTGGGGAAGGAAGTCGCTATCAAGGTCTTCAAGAAGCAGCACTTCTGTTACCACATGCCAACCAGCGCTGCTTCTTTTGCCACTTCTGGCGCAGTAGAAGCAGCAGCCCCTGCCGTTCCCACGGGGCCCCCTTGGAACGAGGGCCCTCTTGCACTTCCTCCGCAACGCAGTGGCGATATCGCAGACGCGCGAGCTTCGCCGGGTGTAAAGGCTTCAGATCTGCAGAAGCGGTTGCAAGAGATACAGTGCCACAACACTGACTTGCTGCTGCAACAGCTTCTTCTGCTTCAGCAGCTCCGTCACCCCCATTTAGTGATGCTTTTGGGGGTTTCACTTACCCACTCGTTCCACGTGTGTCTCGTGATGGAGTATATGCCGAATGGTGGTCTCGATGCACACCTCTCTCAAGGCGATCCCCAAGAAGTCGTCTCCCGTCCTTCAAGCGCCATCCGATCGCAGTCGCAGCAAGGCGGGATGATGGCAATCCTTTTTGGTGGAGGGGCTTCCCAAAGCCAGAGCATTCCCAGCCAGTGCACTGTAGACAGACACAGGAGCGCGAAGCCGTGTTGTAGTGCAGGGCGACATCCCCGACCGCTTCTCAGGCCGTCGGCATGCAACAGCTCTCCTGGGGTCTTCGGGAGGCCTCATGGGGGCCCCCAAGCGGGGGGGGCCCCCTGGTGGGAAAGCGAGTTTGCGGGGGCTGAAGGCGGCTCCCACAGGCCCGTCGGACGTGCTCCCCTGTTGCCGCCTCTGGAGGGGGGGGCCCCACACCCGGGGCCCCCTCAAGCGGGAGAGGGTTCCTTGCCCCTCCCTCCTGCGTGCTGCGTGCTGCCCCTCGTGCTTGCAGTGTCTCTGGAGGGGCCCCCGTCCCTCGAAAGCAGCCCCACAGCGTCGACGGACTCCCCGTGGGAGGTATCTCGGCGATGCCCTTCTTCCGAGGGGTCTTCTCCTAGGGGCCCCCGCCACCCCACAGCTCTTTCTCACGCATGCACGACGGACGTGAAGAAGAAAAATCCAGCAGCGACGCAAGGCTCAGCGTCGGGGCATGCAGCACTTGCCAGAGAGGTATTCCCAGGGGCGGGGCTCCTCCTGGGGGCCCCCCCGTTCTTTGGATTTCGCCCCAGGGGCCCCCTCTCCTACAAGGACAGGGCCCCCCTCGAAGGCCTGCCCTCCTCCTGTGGTAAGGAAGCCCACCAGGAAACTCCTTCTGAAGGCTCCGACTGCTTCTCGCTTCCCCAGCGGGGGCCCCCCTGCATTGCGTGGGGCGTCCCCTACGCAGTGGCCGGGCTTAGGGGCCCCTACTGCCACGATGGGGGCCCCCGTAGACCCACAAGTCCCCAGGGGAGCGGCGTGCAGCCGCTGCATTTGCTGGATGCACTCAACTTGGCACGTGGCATTGCTCTCGGCTGTGCATACCTACAAAGGCAGCAGGTGAGGCTGACAGCGTTCACACTCGCTCCCCCGTGGGCCCCTCCCACACAGCGCGCATGCCCAGACAGAGCCAATCGCGCTGCACTGCCCTCACACACGCGTTGAGCTTTTTTGCATGTGAGATTTTGGGGGCCAGGTCTACCACTTGCAGCTAAGGCCCTCCAAGGTGCTGCTGGATGGGGCCCTTACTCCGAAGCTCGCAGGATTTGGTAAGTTGGCGTTACCGTGCATATGCAGAGAACGAGCGGCGGCCGTTTACTGCGTTGTTCTTCCCTCTGTGTGTGCATGTCTGTGTGTGCATGTCTGTGTGTGTATGTCTGTGTGTGTATGTCTGTGTGTGTATGTCTGTGTGTGTAATTGTGTGCGTGTATGCGTATGGATACGCGTATATATGTGAATATATATATGTATGTACACATCCATATATGTATACATCTATATATGTGTATACAACCACACATGTATACATATATATATGTATATATGCGTTCGTCTGCATGTACGTATACGCATGTGAATGCGTGTATGTTTGTATGCATGCATGTACGTACATATATAAGTGTGTGTATGTGCATGTATGTATGCGTGTGTTTCGTCTTTTTCTCCGATTTTTTGTATGATGCATCACCAGGCATCGCTGAGCTGGAGGCGCTTTGCACTAGAAACGTTCGCGAATGCCTTGAGGGGGCCCTTGGGGATATGCTTGCTGCCCCTGGGGACCTCTTTCATCGAGGCACTCCCGCGGAGGGCCCCTTACGGGGAGCGACTGCCTTTCACAGGAGGTCGTCGGCAAGTGTAGCAGGTAGGTATTTTAGGTACCCTTTGCCCGTTTTTTGCCTTTCTTTATGCACTGCGCTAGGCAGGCTGACTTCGTGTTGTCACTCTTGCGACTTGCGTGGTTTGTATTTTGCAGAGAGCGCTTTCGAAGGGCTGGCGTCGCCGGCAGATCAGCAGCAGCAGCAGGAGCAGCAGATGGCCTCTGCGTACGGCTTATCCTTGGCCTTGCGTCAAATGAACTGGTGCACGCAGATGCTGCAGCTTCCCTGGGTGCCCCCAGCGGTAAGTGAGGCTCAGAGGGGGAGGGCCCTTTTGCAGCCTGCAGTGACACCCCGAGCTGGGGTTGCTGTTCCCCTGTACTGTGGCCGCACGTGTTTCAAGGCTTTCGTGTGTATCTGCAGATCTTGCATTTCCGTGTGTTAGAGGTGCTCCTGAGGGTGTTGTCGTTAGGCGGGAGACGTATCGGCCTTGCAGCGGGCAGGAAGCAGCCGATGAAGGGGGGAGGTGGGGCGGGGGAAAGAGAATGGCAACCTCCCAAGCGCCCTTTAATGACTCCTAAGTTGTTCTCACTGGGTGGGCTTCTCAGGTGTGCTTCGGCCTCAACAAGCCGGAGGACAAGGACTGCACCGACGTGTATTCTTTTGGAGTTCTTTTTTGGCATATTGTAAAGAGCACGGCATCAGTTGTACTGCGTAGAAAAAGCGTTGTGCTACCTCATAGCTGTCGCCTTGCACTTGCATTTGCAGCAGAGGTACCAAGATCTCGCGGGTTCGGCTTTTTCTGTGTATGTGCATGTTTAGGTGTAGGTGCATGCGTGTGTGGATTTGACTGCTGCAGCTCACCGGCCTAAAGCCGTTTGCGGGTCTTTCTACAGCGCAGATTGTGGTGAGAAGCAGCGCTCTCCTTGAAGGCTTAGATAGGGAGGCAGCCAGCGAGACGCGTGCATGACACAGCAAGCAGCCATCTTGCACGGAGCGTGGGGGCGGGTCCTACCTACCACACGACGCCACCCTACAGAGACTTATTTGAGTACCAGCTGCGCCGCACCGGGTGTATATACGCACCAAATATGTAAATATATATGTAAATATATTGTATATATGTATATATATTTGTGGTTCAAAGGGATGCGTGGAGTTTTGGAGGGAGCCGGTGGCCGACCCCCGTGACGCGATACCCGACACTTTGAAGGTGGGTTGCATGCAGCGAGTTTTTTTGTCTTTTGGCTGCTTGTGAGCCAGTTGCGACTGCTGCTGTAGCGGGCACGTGTCTCTTTATCTCACTAGGCTTCCCAACGGGTTGTCGGGTGGTGCGTTTTCTGCAGGCTCTTATAGAAAAGTGCTGTTACACCGCGTGCTCCGAACGCCCTACTTTCCTGAACATTGTTCATGCAATTGCGGCGCTTCACGCGAATGTGCGCGAATATGCAGGGCAGTTCTTCATATCCCTTTTTGCTTGCCTGGCTGGTGCTTCGTTTCCTCGTCGCGCTCCCCTCGGGGGAAGTGCGAAGCCGATTTCTATAGACCTCTCTTCGAGGTCGCCTCTTGAAGCGCTGCGTTGCGTTGCTGATATCTTTACCGTCAGTCGGCAGAAGGATTCATGGATCCCGCAAGAATAGTGCCCGCCTGTCCCTCTTCAAGTAGATCAGGTATAAAGGGTCTTCGTTTCGCTTTGTGTGCAGACAAGAGATTCAGCAGAAGACGCCCTTGAAGTATTCATGGGCTCCTTGTAGGAAGCCTAAAAGGCACACAAGAATCTGTCTGTGCCTACGCGGCGGGGAGGAAGGAAAAAGGGGGAAGGCAGCTCTGGCTACGTGTACAATACCTCCGCTTGTTAAGGCCCCCCAGCCTCTCCACCTACCACCACCCACCCATCACCACCCACCTACCACCACCCACCTACCACCACCCATCCATCGTTTGGAGTGGAAGGCAAGGGTCTCGAGAGAATTTGGGCAGTACGGGGGCATACCCATTTGGGCTGCCTTTTTTCTCGAGAACAATGATTCAATGTGGGATACCACGATTTAGCCTCCTGGCCTGCCATGTGTGCGGGCACAGCCTGCGGTGGCACTGCGCAAAGAACTGGCTTTCTTCTTCACGGGGCAGTGCGTCGGGAAGTCTGATTAAGTGCATGCTTAAACGCATTCAATAATTAGCGGGGCGCTCCTAGGACCTGCAGGAGACTTGCTTTGCTCCTAACAGCCCTTATCTGTCTTTCCACATTCGCTATACCGTAGCGCAGGTTCGAATCGCCTGAGTTCGCGTGAAATACCAATAAAACTTCCGAAGAAAGTTGGAGGAACGGCAGCAGCAGCAGCAGCTTAGCAAGTGCAGGACCGCCGCTACAGGCGGTGGGTGTTTATGGGGGAAGGCCCCACACTATTAAGAGGCTCATGGGAAAGCTCATGTAAAAGAGCCGTTGTTAAGGACCCCTCATGAGTGTGCAGTCGTCGTTCGTACAGCACGTTGGACAAAGCAGGTGCGCAGAAGAGGAGACAGGTAACTTAACCTCTTAGCTCCTTACAAAGGGGCGGCATTCCTCTAGGGAGTCAAAAATCCTGCGAGGTACCAAAGTTTCATCGGGCTGTCCTGTGAGGCTGCCTTCCTCGAGTGCGAGACTGGGGGGCATGTAGGACCCTTCATGTTCTGTGGGCGACACAAACGCAGTGCACAGAGATGCGCATTTCGCGAGCACTTCCACGCCATCAAGACTGCATGCAGACCGCTAGGTGCATGCACCTGCGACGCTCAACCCTTAGAGCAGAGATGTTCTGTCTCAGCTTCAGAAGGGGCTATTACGGACCGCGTTTTCGGCGATTCCTGGGAGTGAGCATTTCCTCATCAGAGAAGTAACTGCACAGACACCGCACGCAGCCGCACACCACAAATTTGAATTCTTGAACTTCCCGTGGGTAGCCAGAGCTAGCTAACACACATACGAAGAGTTAGGTAGAAAGCTTCTTCGGAAAGGGCAGCGATTCCAAAGCAGGGAAAGCTGCATGCTAGTTCCTGGCGTACTGGAAATAACCGTCATTTCGGACACTTGGATCTCTGGCCAGCACCTTGATATGCACATGCGCCGCCTGAGTGCAAGAAAAAGCGAAAAAACAAACAGGAAAAGGCAGCTTCCTCAGGCTTCGGCCTGCCTGCCAGCCTGCCAGTCGGTTGCAAGTTTAGCTTTAGGGCATGCTTTTTCTGCAGGCTGTTAGAGGCGGCTACAAAACTCTCAGGGATAAGAATGCGTTCAAGGAGAAGAGCGAATCACTGCACATTACAGTGTATGGTTATGAACCTCTGCGGTAGCCGTAATGTCTCTTTCTAAGCTGCCCTCCTCCGATTCTCCTTCAACCGCGTCTCCGTCTGACGCTCGCCTGCAAGAAAACAATTGCAAGCTCATTTCGAATTCTCATTCAACAAGGCCGACAAGGCCAAAATTCAAGGGAGACAGCAGCCTACAAGACAACGTAATGACATACATATGTATAGAGAAAGAGAGTTACTCATATATACATATATATATCTAGCTCTCTCTCTCTATATATGTATGCAGTTATACGTAGATGTAGTTATCTATAGTCGTTGTACATGTAGCTATATATATATATATTTTATGTATGTTTCGCCGTTTAGATTTGAAGCTTATAGCCCGCAAATGAGGAAGGGCTAAGGCCTTAGCATTTGTCGTACGAAGACTTCTGTCCACCCAGGCGGAAGGCGAGGAGCCCTACAAGGAGGATGAGCTGCAGAGAGAAATAGGGGAAAAAGGAAAGAACAAAGAGGAAGCAGAGGGCAACGCATGCAGACAACAGGAAAAAAGAAAAGAGATGCCAAAGGGACCTCAACCCTGTACAGAGGGCGAAGAAAATACGTGCGCACAAACTCCTCATACGGCACACGTTGGCAGACAAGACAGCAGTGGGTGTAGAGGCTACCGACAAAAGCGTTGATGCAGAGAGGAAACAAATATAGTCGAAGCAACGAAGGCTATGGAAGAGAAGGACAAGACAAGAACACGCGGCATCAAGAATCAGAGAGGCGAGAAGAGAGAGCAACCACGGCAGACACACACACACACACATATATATATATATATATATACACACACATAGAGACACAGACAGAGAGACACAGACGCACAGAGACACTTAGAGACACATACAGACACTCAGACACACAGACAGACACAGACATAGAGACACATACAGACACTCAGACACACAGACAGACACAGACATAGAGACACACAGAGAGACAGAGACACTTAGAGACACATACAGACAGACAGACACAGAGACACACACACAGACACACATACAGACACACAGACACACACTGAGACATAGACACACATACAGACACAGAGACACACATACAGACACACATACAGACACAGAGACACACATACAGACACACACAAACACAGAGACACACACACAGAGACACAGAGACACACATACAGACACACACAGAGACACACACACAGAGACACAGAGACACACATACAGACACAGAGACACACATACACAGACACACACACAGAGACACAGAGACACACATACAGACACACACAGAGACACACATACAGACACAGAGACACAATTTTGAGTTTGGCGTGTATGAGTGCGAGGGAAGTACCAGGCCGAAAAAGTCCGTAGCCTTCGCTGGAACGGCGCTGTCTCCCTGTGCGAGCACGCGAAGCGGAGAAGCCCTACGATTGAGAGTGTTGGGTTTGTGCACGCCTCACGAGGAGACAGTTTTAGAGCGTTTTTGCTTCGTGCATCTTGGTGAGCAAAGGCAGCAGCAGCAGCAGCAGCAGCAGCAGCAGCAGCACCCCCCGCTGTTGCAACTGCTGCTGCAGATGTTTTAGCGTAACAGCGCAAGACTTGTGAAAAAGGCCTCGCCTTCCCAAGTCTCGAGGCAGGTGTTCGCTTACCACGATAAGCTTTGAGTAGAATGCCATGGAAGTCAGCGGGAGGCGGACTGTCATTATGAGGAAAAGCACAGTGGCTCCACAGTGCTTCAGTACCTGCAAAGAAACACAGCCTTGGAGTTGCATTTGCGATTTCCGACAGCCAAAAAGAGGCAGCAGCTAGCCCGCTTCTTTGGCTGCAAAAGGCCTCTTCTTGCATCCGCGCAAAGCCTCAGTCTCGCGAAAAACCCCGGCTCCTTGAAAACGTACCAGCATTGAGCAGACGTTGTAAATCAAGTTGAATAGAACATAGACAAGCACTTCCACCTGTACAGCCCACAACAGGGGAGCGCTCGCTCAGCGTGTCACAGGGCGGGAGGCACCCGGTGAAGGCTCAGCGAGGCCAAGAAGAGATGTCTAGACACTCCGCCATCTACGGGGGATGAAGCACCGAAAGGTGGCTCGCGCAGCAAGCAGACGAAGCCTTTACAATCAAGAGTAATAAGGCAATATAAAACATGCCCGACTCGCGACTTTTACCCATGCGCCTTCGCAGAAATCACAGGGCACTCCCCAGACTGGGCCGCATTCCTGTGCGCCAAGTGCAGCACAGACAGAATACACCGAAGAAAGATCTTGGATACCGAGTCGATTTTTCTGAGCATCCAAACATCTGAGAGGGGCAGAAGAAGACAGCACGTCGCTCAGCAGGGGCTGGACCCGAGAGACTTCCTCACAGGCGGTACGATGATGCTGATGCCAAAGAGGCATTTTCCACCATTGATCAGACGAGTCCACAGCTCTGCGAGGGGTACAACTTCTGAAGAATCCGACAGCAGGCAGCAGACACGTAAGAGGGGGAAGAAGGGGGGTCGGGGGGTGTCGCTACGGCCTGCCTAGCCTCGCGCGAGAGGCAACGTTGAGAAACAGAAGCTAAGAGAGATGCCCTGAGCGGCGGGAAGGAGGATAAAAGGGACGGTTTTTTGGGAGGAGAGCACCAATGCTACCCGACTGTGTAGGATATCCGTGTCTCGCGGCTGTTTCCGCGAAGGATACCGCGATTTGAACCTCGTGTGCGATCTCTGCACGATCGCATACCTCTTCCAAGCAGCGGTAGGGAGGTGACGGGCAGAAGAATGAAGCCGACGAAAAACTGGAAGAGAGCCACCCAGAATTGAAGGAACGAAGTATTCATCTGCACCCCGCGAAATGCGATCTCCTTAACCACGTACGATAGACTGCTTGGCTGAAGGGACAAATTCAAATTACCGGAGGAAGAGACACAAGAGACAGGGTGAGGCCTTTAAGATTAGAATTATGCCTTGTGGTGGGATTCTTTTCGAATTACCGCGAGAGAGCCTCGCCTCCGCACAGCGGTTCACCCCTGACTACACCGGCCGTTTGTAACGGCATAGACTACGGCTACCGCTGGGGGAGAAAAAAAGCTCACGAGGATAGATAGCAGAAAAAGGAGATTGAAGAAGGGCACATTGTTGCTGTCCTCCTTATTCGGGTGCAATAAGCCAGGGCTCTCCACTACCAGAACTCCCATGATGATGACAGCAGCACCGAGGTGTTGAATGGCGTTGTACCTACACATCATCAGCAACCCCACCACCCAGCGCACAACTGACCACCACACACATGCTGGGAAAGTGCGCATGCATTCGCTGGAGCGACGGCAGAATCCGAAATGCCACTCCCGCAACCCACGAAAGGCTTACTTCTTGCCGAGCATCAACCAACAAAGCAGCAGCATCACGGGGATGCCTAGCTGAGACAGAACTACTTGAGCCGTTCCTGCACAGGTCGAGCACCAAACGGCAAACTGGCTTTGACTTTCAACCCCACACCCCCTCCGGCGCCAATGCGCACCTGATGGGAATACTCTCATCTCACCCCAACACGCAACCCTCGTCAGCTAGCTAGTTGCTTCACGAGATGCACTGTTTGAGGCTCCTGTCTCAGCGCAACTTCTCGAGCCGTTTATGTATCGACCTCCCCTGCCATTTAGAATGCGCGCTCGACAGCTACCCCAAAGCGCGATACTACCCCCCAAGCTCCCAAGCACCTGATGTATGTACACCGCCGACCACTGCCATAATACCGCAGAGTCCATCAAGGCATCCCATAAGCGCAAAATTCTTCTTCGGAAAACGCAGCACCTCCTAGACGCACACTCAAACACATTACACTCCACTGTTGCACACCTCGGAACACGAAATCGCATACCACCACTCTTGCACTCAAGAGGCCTCGCTCCTCTTTCTATACGTCTGCACGCCTCACAAGATGCGAGTCACGCAACGCTGCCTTCCTTAACCCCCCACCATATTCAAAAAAATCACCTGGGAAAGCTTTCCCTGAGAATACTGGTAGAGACAAAACGCCGCAAAAATCGGAATAAAAACAAAATTCGTTAGCTGATTCAGAAACCCCGAATAATTCGGCATCTTATCCAACATCCGCCTGTACATAAACAAACCCACATAGACAGCCATTTGCACATACGTACATGCATATGTACATACACATAAATATGTACATATACATACATATGCACATACATATGTACATACACATACACATACATACGTACATACACATACACACACATACGTACATACACATACACATACATATGTACATACACATACACATACATATGTACATACACATACACATACATATGTACATACACATACACATACATATGTACATACACATATATACGCACATACATATGTACATACACATACATACACACATACATATATACATACACATGCATACACACATACATATGTACATACACATACATACACACATACATATATACATACACATGCATACACACATACATATGTACATACACATACATACACACATACATATGTACATACATATACATACGTACATACATACACATACACATACATATGTACATACATTCACATACACACACACACACACACACACACACACACATACATACATACATACACACACACATACGCTCATATACATGCACATACACATACATACACACAGCACATGAACCTTCAATCTCACGACCAGTATTGCTGCAGCCGGCCGGACCCGCAATGCGCCCCTCGTCTCCCCACTCCATATATGTGCCCATGCAGGAGCTTTTTCCAATTACGTTCTTGGAGACATTCATAAGAACGGCCACGGCGTTCATTTACTGTGAAGCAAAATATTTCTAGAGGCGCCTCGTATTCCATCGAGGGGGAGAAGAGCGGCTTCTACCGAATCGGAGCCTCGTTGTCTACCCCCCCCTTCGTTGTCTGCCATGTAAAGCTCATGAGCAAATTCCACTTGTGTCTAGGGTGTCTTACTTGAAAGCAATGGTATTTCCGGTAGAGGAGATTAGCAGCCCTGCCATGTACAGAAGGACTTTGAGTGGTCTTTGGTTCGCATGCAGCCAAAACAGCACAAAACGAAGACCTAAGGTCAGGCGGCGGATGGCTAGGTGTAGATACAGCGAAACTTTTGAACGAATGCAAGACATAGGGCCTTCCCGTCCAGCTGGCGAAGATCTACGACTGCCGCCAACAAAGCTGCCGTTTTGAACCCGCGGAAAGTTGCCTTCGCCCTCGTCAGCACTGCTGCAGAATTCAACATCCGGCAAATAGGTGTAAACTTCTCGATCGGCCATGCCAGAGGGAAACACTGCACTGGGCAACACGACAGGTGTCCTACGGGGAGCTCCCCTGCTGTTGAGGCCTCCCCTGGAATTTCCCCGCAAGCAGGAAGTCGAAAACGCGGCGCACGGAGCATTCCGAGCTTCGGCAGTCGTGAGGGGCCAGCACACTGTCGGTACACCTTGGAAGGGTCCATGCAGGCTGTCTGCGAGCGGCGCATTTGCACGCTGGACACTCTGGAACGAGCAAGGGGCCCCCCCCCTTGTAGGTGAGGCCCCCTCTGCAGAGTGCGCCATTGAGGGGAGAGCCTCATCTTCCCGAGCATCTCCTGTGGGACTGGCGGGGAGCTGCTTTCCATTTGCGGTGGAGGCGGGAGAGGAAGACTCCCTGCTGCGCAGTCCTTCGCTTACCCCCGTGCTGGCGCGGCTTTGAGGCCTCCTGGGAGAGGGGATACCAGCAGCTTCCCCTGCAGATGGATGCATTGATGCAGAAGAGAGCTCCTGAGAGGTCGTAAGACCACGGGATCGTTGCACCGGCCATACAAGTCGCAACGTTCACGTATGTGTACGTGTATGTGTATGTGCGTGTGTGTACACATTCAAGGGACATGGGCAGCTTCAGCGGCGTTGTCGGAGGCCTCACACGCCCCTACCCTCTCCTCCTGGTAAGCGAGGGGCCTTCGCCATGGGTCAAATGCAGGAAGGACCGAGATTCGTTGTAGAAGCAGAGGCATGCATGCAGGCCGCTTTGGGTGTAGGCGGGTTGAGAGTGTAGTAAGGGAATATGGGGAGGAATGTGGTCATTAAAGAAGAATACAATACAAAAAAATAAAGGAAGCAAAGAGGGGAGAGGAAAAAAGGGTCCGGTTGAGATTAAATACGATATATCTCAGTTCCTAGCCATACGGTGGTGGACTGAGAGCACAGGAACGACCAACTGTGGTGACATGAGTTTTTGTGAATATTCGAGGCAAAACACCATTTAGATAGGCAGTAAAATTGAGTATTTCTACTTAAATAATCATAAGATGCACATGAATTGAGATTGCACTCTGCTTGCATCCCGTACATCTTAACGTTCTGCCAGCAGCGCCTAGCAGTCCATCAAGGCCAGTGGTTCGGTGCCGCACGTCTAGGTCCGCTGTTAACATTCCTTCTGTGTATGTGCTCCCTGATGTATATTGTAGCTCAGCATTCTAGCCCGAATTCCGTAACTCCACTCCTGTAAGAACAGTCGAGTGCCTGTAACCTTCAACGAAGAGAGAGTCATTCGCTACACGCAAGCCAATTTACGTCCACTGCACGGCTTCATCTAACACCGAGGTTCGTGCTTTTAAGGCTGCCCATTAGAGGCCCTCAGTGCTACGCAGGCTCATGTACGAGGCCCATGGGTGGGTGGGGGCCGGGAATACATACCACCAGACCAGTTCATGAAAAAAGGATCGCTCACGCTCCACTCCCCCTGCTTCCAATAGACTATCGGAACTCACTATCCAAGGCTTTGCCCCACTACACAATGCCCTCCTGTCTGTCATGACGCATTAGGACCACCCGATCGCCTTTCGGGATAAGGCGCGAGACGCAGGCGCTCGAGGAAAACGGGCGAAGTGCCATCATGGCCTCTACTTCAAGGCTTGGCTCAGCTGTCTCTTAATGTACAACAAAAACGGCGATCGACGCCCGAGGGCGCCCAAAGCGATGCTTTTTACTTTTTTTCTTTGTTGCAAGTCACTAGTCTGTTAGGATGCTTCAAAGTGCCAATAAAAATTTGCACTCGTACACCGTAGAAGACCTGAAACCCCATGTCGTGTAGTAGCACTTTTTCGCAGTAAGACTGGGGTTTTGTTCGTTACTTCTCCCTGGCTGCCGCTTGGAGCCCCCTTATACTCGGAATGCCCCCGGTTCGGCGCAGGGGGAAGGGGAGACTGGGGGGCAGCCATGTCCACTGTGGTGTGGATGCGGAAGCATCTCCGGCAGCCCTCCTTCGGGAAGCTCTGAGGTGGCTAGCGCATACATCTTAGAAAAGAAGGCATCCAGATAGCCGAGGGTCTCCCACCTGTCTGTAGCACAACGGACGATGGCTGTCTTCGGAGAGATAGTAAACCTTAGCAGCAGGTGGAACTTTGGAGGCAGGAATATCAGGGCATGCAGTGTCTCAAGCTGGGGCCCTCGTATAGTCTGGGGCCCTCCTCCTGGGGTCTTTTCACAGGTGCCCTCTGTGTGGTATTTAAGGTTCGTTAGAATTTCACTATAAGGAATTTGGCCATCAAAGTATTCATCCACGAAAACATCGCAGGCCCCCATGAGGGGAGGGCCCCTGTGCATTTCTCCTTCCCCTGCTGGCGCTACCTCCTGTCCCCCCACTCCAGAAGAATAGCTCGCTGGCGCATGCTCAGCAGGCACGGGGGAGCCTCCAGGGGCCTCGATGTCAGGGGGGCCTAGAGCAAACTCGGAGGAATAGACGGGGTTTGGGGCTGCATGCCCTTCCTCAGTTGTCTCATGCAGCCACTGATCCTGCAAGCATCCTCAGACACCACTCTCAACAGGCCACCCCTGCTGCGTATCTGCCGTGTGAATTCATGCATGCAAACAGCCTATATCGAGTGTACAGACACAACACCCACATGCAAAGCAGCCAGTGTCTAAAACAGGGACGCGTGCGCTGTGCGAAGATGGAACACGCATGCGTCAAGTCTCTGAGCCGCGTTTCTGCATTTGCATGCGCATGGGGCCATGACACTCTGAGCTGTGTGTTTGTTCGAGCATGCGGGCGTGCGTGTTTCCTTGCGAAAAAAAACAACGCATGCATCACCAGTAGGCTTTGCACAGATCCAGCAGCACAGAGAGTCGCACTCGAGAATAGTCGAATGTCTCGGGCTCCAGCGTGATGCTCTCTTCGATCAAAAACGGACTGAGAGACATCTGGATCATTCGCTTCACTACAGAACTCTCCAGGTCGAGTGTCTGCATCCCCGCACACAAGCGCCACAAAAATGTGAGCTATTTGTTCTTAATTTGAACTGTATATCCCCCGAAAAGGTGGAAGGCGGATGGAGACCGCCACAGCCCCTCAATCCCGAACCGTTACGAGCACCTCCCTCATATACCTTGACGGATCTTGCGGTGTCTCTACGGCTCCAAATGGTCTGGAACAGCACAGCTCGAAATTCTGCTGGGGCGCATATCTGAAGACAGGAGGCAACCGAATGCAGAAGAATGCATGCACGAAAAAATGCAGACTTGAGCCAGGAGAGTCGAGCACAGGGAGTCAGGCACGCGCAGCATCTTCCCACCCCCAGCCCTCCCCCCGCTGGCTGACGCCCCTTTCCGCTACAGCGCAACACATTTCTAGCGCCCATGAACCGAGAGAGTAAACAGGCAGAAGAAGGAAAATAACAAAGCGATCGCAATGCAGCTGCGAGGGGAGTGCTGCAGCAGCCAGCCCGACATGCACCGGCAGGAACAGGTCCTGGAATGAGACGGCGAATGGCTGCAGACTGCCAGAGTATGCAGCGCCTTGAGAGTCGCTGAAACGAAGTCCAACTGAGAATACTGCTGGAACGGGCTCCACAGGAAGTAGCCTGCACAATGCTCAGCATTCCGAGCAGCCACAAGCGCATGCAAAGTGGGAAAGCAGGAGAACGAAAACACTAGGAAGCCACATCAACGACTCATCCATGCTCCAATAGACGCACATGCACCACATAACGCACCACATGCAACCCCAAGCCAGCAACCAGACAAACATGCAGAGAGACACAGACATACAGACAAACATGCAGAGAGACACAGACATACAGATAAACATGCAGACAGACACAGACACTAGGCACTCCTTCAGAAGGAGCTCCCTCCAGCACCGGTTGTTGTTGGTGCAGTGCTGCTGCTGCTGCTTTTAAAGCAGCAGTAGCCTTTGAAAGGGATATTACAAAGCAGCCCATAGAGCGGCAGGGATTTTTTCGTAGGTGTTTGTACTTGAGAATGATCTTGTAGTCGAATGGAAAGGCATCCTCGGAGGCTTCTCGGAGCATCCGAGCTTCTTCTTCCGTCGGCGTATCCCTGTCTCCTGGGGAACAGTTCATGGAGGGGCTGTCGGGCAGTGCACTCAGAGGGCTCTGTAGGAAAGGGATGCACACACTGTGGAGTGGACGGTAAGAGGGGCAGTGCGAGAAGAACAACTCGATGGCGTAAAGAGAGCGCATCCGGAGTGCCTCCTGCGCTGCCATGAGGCCCTGTTCTTGGCCTGAGGTAGAGGGCCCCCCCCCCGCAGGAAGGGGGCCCCCAAGAGGGGCCCTGCAGAGGCCCTCTGGAGGGGCCTCAACGACGCGCAGGCGGAAAGGGAGGCACACAGAGAAGGCGTGTGAGGCGACAAAGTCGTAGTAGGCTTCTACTGCTGAGGCGGTCCCCCCGAAAAGGCTGCGAAGACGCTCAGCGGAAAGAACACGAGGCAGATCAGGACGGCAAGTTGGAGGGGTCTCGCCATAGACCAAAGCCTGCAGCATCGAAAAGCACGAAAAGACACAAGCCACCTCCAGAGGCTTCCCCACGACTTGCTCGTAGCCTGCGCCCCTTCTGCCTGGAAAGGCGCAAGCGACGGCAGCAGCAAAACGCATGGCGAAGAAAAACGGCAACAATTGAATCCCCATGAGGAGCACCTCAATAGCAGCCTCCCCGTGCACTTGCTCGTAGACCTCCTGGAAGCAAGAAATCCCACGTTTGCCCCCTTGGTGTGGCTCTTCAGTTGAAGCAGCCACTTCAAGAGACTGGAGAAGGCCCTTTGAGGCAGCTGGGGGAGTCAGGAAGAAGGCAGCCTGCTGATCGAGGAGTCCACAGAGGATGCGACGTTCCTGAGTTGATTTGATGAGGGTTATAAACGGCACAGGCCCCTCGAATCTGCGCAGACGCATGCAGCCTGCCGCTTGCGGTTCGGGGTGTTGTGGCAAAATTCTAAAGCTGCATGCATGCACGTTGTTGGGGCCCCGAGACAAATACTCAAAAGCAGCGGGAGGAGAGCTGCGAGTTCCTCAGCAGCACGAAGACGCCGCTTAGCACGCAGCATGCAATGACAGCATCACCTCCGCGGCTGGCACAAAGCAACAAGATGGATGACTTTTCTCTTCAAGCGCAAGATCGCGCTTACCTATACTGTGGTGGCGCAACATGTGTGAGGTACCGCTCAACGAGGCCGCTTGCCTCCCCTCCAGTCACAGTCAACAAGGCAACTGCAAGAGGTACAAGCAGGGGGCATTGGCACAGCTCCAGGAAAGAGGCACACATTCTCTCAGATGGGGAGAGCTGCAGCACCAGCAATCCTGCGTACACGCCGCTACAGCTGCAGTAGATACGCTGACTGCATCAGACAACAAGGGAAAGGAAAGCAGCCTCACGAAGAGCCCGATCGCTCGCATAATGAAGAGCCAAGAGGAGCAAGGCAGCCTCCTGTCGACAGTCGAATCCCCCCCGGCCCTGCGCGAGATCCTGTAGCAGAAGTCCGACTCCTTCCCGTATCTCGCTGCTCCCCCTGTGTGTTTGTAGCAGCTGGGGGGCAGCAAGCACACGAACAGCGAGTTTTTTAAATTGCTAAAGCCACTTTGCAGGATAACCGCCACCCCACACTGGTGCCTCGCTCTCTCCCCACGAGCAACACGGGGGCCCCTGGGTCAAGAGCAAGAGGGCCCCTTTGGAGCTTCCTTTCGGGAATAGAGACCCTCCCGACCCCCCCGCCCGTCCCTCCCACCCTGCACATACGTCCTGCATGCAGTCTGTTGTCATGCGCCTTCGGCTTTAACCAGCCGACTCTGGCACGCCACCCCTACGAAGGCTTCAAGGTGTCTCTAGCGGGGTGACAAGAACGGCATTGCGGACCTGCTTAATCACGGCGAGGAGACAAAGTGCAGCGTGCCAGCTCCGCCTGCCGTCCGCCTTATCTGTTGCTGCTGCAGTAAGGCTGAGACGTCTGAGCAGCGGCAGGAGCCGCTGCGGAGGGATGCCGCGGTGTACAGACAGCTCGAAGATCAGGGAGGAGAAATACACAAGGTCTTCGGGGGGCTCAAGCGTCTCTAAGAAGCTCGCAAGGGGGAGCAGCAGAGACTCGCACACAGAGGGCTCCGGCGGCTTTTTCTGAGGCTTTTGAAGGCACTGACAAGGCCCTCTCTTTCCGCAGGAAGCACAAGGCGCAGGGGAGGAAGAGCCTTGAAGCGAAGCCTCAGCCGCGCGAGACGCATGATGCAGCAACAGCAACACGCTCGCCTCCAATTCGACGGGATGGCATCTGAGTGCACCCGCACACGCAAGCGTCGAGAACAAGCTCCTCTGCGCTTTTCTTTGGAGGAATTTCCAAAATAATTCGTGCTTCCAGCAGCAGGCAGTACAGAAGCCTCTCTGTGCCGCCCCAAAGTGCGTGAACAAAGGGGCCTTTATCAACATCCCCAGCGGCTGCAAGGGCTGGCCTTTTTGACCAATCGATCTGTCGAGCTTCAGGGCAGAACGTGTGTCTGTCTTCTTTCTCTTTATCAACAAGCATCTAAGAAGCTTGCGAGTGGGTCTGGATCGCCGGAGAGTGTGGCCTTATTACCGGAGGTTCTCGCAGAGGAAAGCCTGGAGTTGCTGGCAGGCAAGCGGGGATCTCAAGCTGCTCCTGAGCAAGAATCTGAAGACTACTGCATGCACTTCGGGAGCGCTGCGTGGCCTTTTGAACTCGTACATGACTCCGCAGACGTCGAACAGGTTTGCAGCGGCACCCCGCCAGCTGGAATTGCTCCTGCAGCAGTGCAGAAGGAGGGCCTGTAGCAGCTGCTCTTTCACAGAGGGGGGGTCGCTCGCTGAGGGGCAGAAGACTGTAGGAGAGCTTCCCGCGAAGGCTGCACAGAAGTCGGGGTGTTGCATTAAGGCCATGTACCACCTGCGAAAAAAATCGAATTCCAAGCAGTATGGTGGGATATGGCGGAGTGATGCCTGAGCGGGCAGAGGGGCCCCCCGTAAGAGGCCTCGACATGCGCGGTTTGAGCGGAGACAGCAGCAGCTGCTGCTGTCTCCGCTCAAACCGCAGTCCAGCGCGCAAAACTCAGAGTTTACCGAATGCAGAGGACACGTTCGTGAGGATTCATGGTCTGGTTCTGCACAAGCTCCCTTAGCCGAGCTGAAAGCAGAATGGCATGGGGACTGCCTGTGAGCCGCTCCACTCCACCCGGTCCTGGTAATCTCTGAGAACCTCCAGAAAGGGGCGAGTTTCTCAAGGCTACAGCGAGGAGAGCCCACGCGTGGAGAAGATGCAGTCTCGAGGAGTGGAGAAGGGGCAGCAACATGTCGAGAGACACAAACGCGGGGAGGCAGAGCAGCCTGTGCAGCAAGGAAAAGGCCAGAGGGGTGCAATTACGCGCTATGCACATGACGCACTGCCCTCTCCTCCGCTTCCCCCTTCCCCGCATTCGCCATGCGAGTTTCCTTCTACAACGGCCGATGCAAAAAATACGCTCCACCTTCCAAAGCCTCACCGAGAAAAAAACGCCAGGTGCATGCAGATAGCTAGCTGGGGCCAGTCCCCATAACTCCAAAAGCCCTCCAGCACTACTGACAAGGCCTTCTTCAACGATTTGGCAAAGTCTCGAGCCAGCCGGGGAGGAGGCAAACAATCTCCCCGCATGCTACTGCTGCCCGAGCTGCTGAGTGTTACTGCTGGAAGAGGGACGGCAGACACCCCAATCGAGGGGACTGCACAAAAGACACAACTCACACGCGAGACACTCACACCCCCAGGCCTATATTGCTGCTCATCATACTGCTGCTCATACTGTTGCTGCTCATACTGTTGCTGCTCATACTGCTCCTGCTATGCATTTGTCAACCCTCACAGTAACCCCCCTGCTGTTTCTAGCCTCTCGGGAGCCGCGCTAGAACCCCCTTTTCAAGATCCTTTCGCTCAGGCAACCGCTCTAGTGGCCTACTCTTGTAGTGTAGCCCGTTCGTTTCTTCTTGGCAGGGATAAGGGCCTCCTAGGTGTCTTCCTGGTGTATATCCGAGTGCGTTGCCTTCGGAGGAGTCTGAGGTGACACGGCCCTTCATGTCAAGGCCGTTTTTGAGGGACTGTCTCCCCGTTTGTGTGAGCTCTGAAAGGTCTTCCTCTTTCGTGGGGAGGCCTCTCTCCGGCGCTTCTCTGGCGAGCCGACTCTCACAGACTATGTTGGCAGAGAGGTGACGCATGCAACGCAAGAGAAGCACTGCATAGGCCTCAGCAGCTAGTTGACGCTCCCTCTGAAGAAGATCTGTCAAAAACAGGGGAGATGAAGAAGCCTTCGTTGAATCCCCCTGCTGCGCCACTGAAGCCAACTGCAGAGTGCCTGCAGCAGCTACGCTGAGGGAACTTCCAAAGCCTTCAGGGCCTAGCAGAGGCGATAGCAATCCTAAGGAAAAAACGCACAAAAGACATACAAGAGAATCAGTAGATCGGGTAAAAGACCACATCAAAGGTGTGCAGTATCCAGCTTTCTGATGGGCCGCTCATTGTATGCCCTGCGGTCTGTCTCCCTCTTTGTCTGTCTATCTGTCTGTCTGTCTGTCTAGCACTCTCTGTATCTGTCTGTCTGTCTGTCTGTCTGTCTGTCTGTCTCTGTCTGTCTCTCTCTCACGCTCACTCTGTCTCTCTCTCTCTCTCTGTCTCTCTCTGTCTGTCTCTCTGTCTCTCTCTCTCTCTCTCTGTCACTCTGTTTCTGTTTCTTTCTCCCCATGACTCCGACTGCACGCGTATATACACCACTTGGCTCCCCCCTTTGCTACTGTTTCTTTAACCACTCCGGAAGCCCAGCCCCTACTACCACCCCAAAACTGCCTCCCTGTGCTCCTTGTACCGGGGTATGCCAATTCAAGTTCCTCAAGACACGTGCATGCAAAGGCTCTAAAGGGGGCGTCGGCTGGAGATCCCACGTTCCTCGCGAATGCATGCAGAAGCCCGACGAGGCGCTGCAGCCACTGGGGAGCCACCAGGAGACAGTCTAGAGACACTGCCATCGACACCCACACCTGCAATGTCACATAGCGTGAAAGCACTGAGAAGGGTCGCTTAACTACTACAGTTGCAGAGGGGCCGGAGCATCGCATGGCTCCTGCCCTTGGCAGCGGAGAACGGGGAAGTCGCGAGATCCCCCTGCTGCTGCTGCTGCTGCTGCTGCTGCTGCTGCTGTTACTGCTGGGGGATGCGGGGAAGGACATGTTGGATTCGGCGGGAGAAGCTGAGGCTCCGGAGCCGCTGCTGCACGTAGAAGTAGGCCTCAAGGAGTCTCCCTCCAAGGGTGTTGCCTCTGAGGCTTCTGCAGCCGTGGATTTAGCGTAGTTTTTGCAGGGGGGGGATTGCAAAGGGGCACTATTAGGCTCTCCGGATCGAGCAGCAGCCGTTGGTGCAGCAGTTGCTTCTGGCGCTGTCTCTGCAGCCACTCTCAGGGGGCCTCCTGTCCGTCGTCGCTCTACAGCCGGGGTGTCTCCGGAGCCTTGGGGCCCCTTGCGAAGCCTCATTCCTCTTGCATAAGGGGAAGTCGATCTGCCAGTGTCTATTGCTGGGGAAGTCGCCTCTTCAACAGGAGTGGCTTCGGGCTGTTGCTGCTCTTCCGCAGCAGCGCCATGGGCAGCTGAAGCGAGACTTTCTTCAGTCCAGTGTATTTTTCGGTGACGGCCTGTCTTAATAGTGAAAGGCACAGCGTTGCAGACGATTGCATCCAAAGCAGCGAAGGCTGCATGAAGACGCTGAGTATCCGAGAGGAGGCTTCCGCAGTTCGCCTCCAGCGTCAGCAGAGCAGACACGCGAGAGTGGTCGTTGTGTGCCAGCGCAATCGAATAGAGCAAGTATCCCAGGGGGCCCTCCCCCCCGGGGGCCCCTCGCGAGACGCCGGTGGAGGAGCCCTTACCCGAGGCCCCATGAGGTACACTAGAGGGGGGCCCCTTGTCGGCGTGATGCGAGAAGGGAGACGAGGCGTGGAAAGGCACTTCCGAATAAGAGGAAGTGGATTCTGATGGCAAAGCTCCCACTCCTTCGGGGCGGGGGTCGGAGTTTCCACCTGCCAGCGTGCTCATCGAAGTATCCATCTGGGGAGGACCATGGGGCCCTCCCAACAGACTCGAAGCATTCATTCTGCAGTGGCTTCGCAAGAAGTTTTCGTGCCCATCCAAAGAACGAGCGCCTGCAGAAACTAATGGGACGGGGGGCCCCTCCTGGGGGCCCCTGAGGCGGAGCGGCGACGCTTATTTGTGCAAGTCTCCGCTGTCTCAAACATGGGAATAAGCATAGCTTCTTGAATACAAAAAGCAGTTCTGGCTGCGAGACAAAGGGGTACAAAAAGAGCCGTCTTTACACCCACAAAGTGCAAGAGGGCCCCCAGGGGCGACACGACAGCAGTGGCCAGAACCACCAGGTGCCCCCCGTAGAGCACTCCCTGGTGCCTGCCCTCCGCCTACGCAGGAGTTCGAATAACGTGGTTTTACTCTCCCTCTTCACGTTATTTAAGACGTTTTTCGTCTTCTCTCTCCTCGTTGTTGCTCAGCGGAGCGAGCGGCTGCAAATGAAAAGTGCCGTGAGTCCCTTGAACTTGAATGTTCATGGGCGTCGTCATATATAGGGCCACACTCGCGTGTGCTTCCATCCACGATTCGACACACTGAAAACGCTAAAATGAGATGGTTGGCGAAGGGCGTGGCGTGGGCTTTACAGTAAAGGATCTTCTATGTCCTGAGCTCTATGATGCCCTCGCCTCCTCCACCCATGACATAGGTACCACAATTACTGTCGCATCGTCACCTGGAAGAACAACACCAGCAGCTTGTGCGAGTTCTCCTCCATCATTTGATTCCCAGATCAACCACCTTCTCGTCCCTCCTCGAATCGTCACCTTGCGGGTGAACCGGCTGCGGTGTCCAGACACCGCAGTTGCACTTGCGGAAGCAGAAAAATGCCTCGGAGCCAAGGGCTATGTACACCCCGCCTTCGCGGATATTCTCGTTTTCCCTCGATTTCAAACCCTTTCAGCCAACCAGCCCCGAGTTACCAGCTGTACAGAGCATGGGGAGCCCTCAGGGAGTTTTCAGGTGGGCCCTTCCTCGGCGGATACACCAGTGCCCAGCATCCCTCATGGCAGCACTCCTGACACCAGCGATTCTCCTTTATCTGGGTATCACTCTCGAACTGGGGCTTTCAGAGGTCCTATGGTGGTTGTCGGGCCGCAATGTGGTCAGTCCGTCCTTCGAGGTTCCCACGTTTTTGCACCAGGCATTCTCGCAGCAGAGAGAGGCATAAGGGAGGGGGCAGAAGTGTCTGTATGGGCCTTGCCGCGTCCCTTCAGAGGTGCAGGGCCCTTCGAAAGGCTCCGAGCGTCTGGGGAAGCAAAAGGGGTCATCCTGTCGCCCGTAGGAGGCGATCTCGTTGCATGCATGCGGCCACTCAAGTTCCTAAGGGGAGCCTACATTGGGGAGAAGGACAGAGAGGCTGTCGAGCGATGGGGTGTCTTCTGTGGGAGGGGTCGTCTGGTGCAACCACTTAAGGAAGTCTTCATGCACAGCAAAGGGCAGGCCATATGCATGCAGAGGTAAGGCGGGCTCCATACTACCGAGCCTTTTAAGTTCCCCTTGCAGCATTCTGCAATGCTTTCAGAGGGCCTCCAGTCGTAGGGGGTCCTTCGGGCTACTTTTCGGACAAGTCTGCTCGCGTTATTCCGTAGACCGTACACCAAAACGTCTGTCTTCTTCCCAGCTGCGCGTGCATCACTGCAAAAGTACACTCTCCGCATCAGTGTTTGCGTCATGCGTTTTTACTCCTGCATGCCCGAATGATGCAGAGTCGTCCTTTCCTCGACTCGGGGCGGCGGTTACTGCTGCACCAAGGAGGCGGAAAATGGACACCTAATTGTGGGTGCAATTGATTTTCCTCGTGTTCCTGTTGCTGCTGATGGCAACGGGTTTCTGGAGGCTGTATCTTTCTTCGTGTGCATGCGGGTGTGCAGCGCCTTTGATTTGTCCGATCTGCCCGCCTCGTTGGTCGCGCAGCAGCTGCCTTCGTGCCTTGTGGGTTTGGTGCTCTCTCCCCAGCCTGGCGAGCATGTGCTGGACATGTGCGCAGCTCCAGGCCATAAGACAGCCCATCTAGCGTCTCTTATGAGAAACACTGGGGTGCTAGTAGCCCTTGAGAGGAGCAAGAAGAGAGCAGAGGACATGTTATCCCTCCTGGCCCGCTTGGGGGCCCCCCGCGTGGAATGCATCCACGCAGATAGCACGAAAGACATGTGGCATTGCTCGCTTGGAGAGGCTTCCCAGCTTAAGTCTCGATTCGATAAGGTACTGGCAGATGTACCTTGCACAGGTCTCGGATTGCGACCACGCATCGTCTTTGACGACGTGGACGCGCGCTCGGTAAAGGCGGCTGCACTCTATCAAAGACAGTTTCTCTCTAAGGGCACAGAGCTACTTAGACCGGGGGGTATTCTAGTATACTCCACATGCTCTATCAGCTGGGAAGAAAACGAGGGCAACGTAGAATGGGCCCTTAAAAAGCTGCCTTTAGATCTAGAGCCTGCGGAACCCTTCTACGCAGCTGCGGAGCGAAGGCATGAAGGTTCCAAGGTGCAACGCTTCTGTGTAGCGGGAGACACTATTGGATTTTTCATTGCAAAGTTCAAAAGGCGAAGCTAACCCCTTAAAGAATCTCTCCTTAAAAGGAGTTCCCAGAGACTCCAAACGCATCACTAGGAGGAGGCGCTTTGAGGATTTATCTGGCTTTTTCAAGCACATTATCTACATACAACTGCGGTGTATGTACGTTGAAGGCTTTTTGCACTCGGTTCCTTCATTTAAAATACATAAACTCCACAAGGATTCCCCGCTGTTCACAATCCTCTGTGGGCTTTTTGAAATTTCACGCCCATGCTGTGCATAGCCACTAACAAAACTAATAGTCTTTATGGAAATATATAGAGCACATTGCATGTAAAGATACATGACGCAGTGCTGCGTCTTCTCCCCGCATGCAGATGCCGCATGTATGCGAGCGTTTACTTCACGTGTGCGATCACGCCAATATATCTGCATAAACTTGTGTTTTTTTGGATCAGCTGCATTGTGAGTGCAACACCTGTTGACTGCTCTAGTGAAGGTGCTTCGCCTCCCCTCCTGTTGTTAGGCTGTGCCGCTGACTGGATAGTTAAAGCTTATATATTTAGGCGGACTCTGTGGCAACAGGAAGCGAGGCGGCGATGGGCAGTGTCTCCTCAAGTTCTTCTTGACTTGAAAGGGCCCTAAAGTGTGCGTAGGCGGCTCCAACACCCATCATTGAGATGAAAACATGGACCCCACAGAATCCAATCCAGTAGATACTGAAGTAGCTAAAGACAACAAACAACAACGAGGCGACTGCCAAAAAGAAAGAGACTGTGTAGCACAGAACAGTCAGGCTTCCAAGAGTCTTTTGCTTGCATGCAGGGAGAGTGACAAGGACGCCGAAGAGACTGCCAATCAGTGCGAAGGAGTTGGTAGCAGTTATCCAGGAAAGAGCCGAGGGATACTTCTCAACGTTTGGAGGGTGCCCTGTCTGAGTCATGAGGTAAATGGAGAGAGCCGCATACACCACGGCCAGCGCACACAACCCTACGTTTATCCTGTTGCCCTTGAATATCGGCTTTCCAGGCACAGAGTTGTCATCCATTTTCACCTGAGTACACACATGGAAACGGAGGGATGCCCGGCCATCTAGAGAGACTGAGACTGAGGTAAACTGAGGTTTTTGGAAGACTCCAAGAGAGTTTGACGAATTTGGCGGTGAGTCGTCAGTGTAGCGAGCGTTTATAGCCGAGAGACATGATAAAATATCCCACAGGGGAACCTGAGAGGTGAAGGATGGGCCAAAAGAGATCTTTAAAAATGCCCTGTAAGTGCTCAAGGTTTCAGATTTATTTGAGATGTGACTTGCTGCGAACTGAGTCGGAGCAGGGAGGGCGTGGTGAGGTCTCTTTAGCATATGCGGACTTTCGCGGTTGCTCCGGTGTGTAGGTGACTCAGACAGGGCAAAACCTTGACAAAACAAAATTCGAATTAATGAACCACAAAGCATTGTACTCAGTATGGCATAGGGGGCCCTCCTTGTCAACGCTTCAACTCTTCACAGAGCAGCGGCTGTACAGTAGGCCGGGGTAACACAACAGGTGTTCCAACGACCGACACCTGGAGCTTCCAGGCTACACGATGCCAACCAAGTGTGAGTTTCAGGTGAGAGAACCACTTATCCATCATTTAGATTTATTTGTCCATGGAATTAGGAAGCCTTTTTTCCCCAAGAGCTCTTGATAATGTACTCGTACTACATGCTGCTGCCGTGTTCGGTCACTTCAGTCCCTGACTCATCGGCAGTCACTGCATGATCTCTCGCTCATGAGCACTTGCTTTAGCCCAGAATCCATGCATTATACTTTTAAAACGTAAAAAGGTGGCCAGCAAGCCAGTACGGGATGTGCTAGGCTCGCAGGGTGGAGACACGAGCCATGACAGAACCATCCAATTCGATTGGCAATGTAGTAAGGACATACAGGGGCTTGGCGAGGGGAATGGGGTACTCTACGGAAATGTTTGACGCCAACGGTTAGCTAGAGATGAGTCATATATAGAGGAACTACTCTTTGTAGGCCAAGCAACTGCCCTTATTTGCCCTCTCCCCCGTGCCTGTGCACCCTTCTCTTTTCACCCTTGTAGTCGGCGCAGCCACAGTTCGACCTTCTGTACACCGCTCCTTGTGGTAACTAAGAATTGAGAACTAGTTGAATGCTCAACTTGACTGCTTGTTTTTCCAATTTGTTGCTGGAGAGAGTTTTTCTCGATGCGATCAAAGAAAAGTACTGCATCGAGCGCATGCGCTGGATGCTGTGTGCAATTTGCTGTCAGACACAAAACAATAGCTATTCCCCCCTTCCCCTCATCTCAAGAACTCTCAAAGGCGCTAGCCGGTAAAGCCGGGAGCTTCTCTAAAGCCCTTATCAACTTCACTAATTTTTTGCATTGAGTCTGGACTTGAATGTGGCTATACGGAGTCTTCAGATAAAGTGTTAGTTGGTAGAGCCGCATGGTTCGGTGCAGCCGTTACTCACTCATACAGTGATTACAGATACAGTGGGATATCAGGTTCCAGACAGCACTCGGTGGTTCAATGATATATTTGGTAACACACAGGAAGGCACACCTTGTGGCATGAGTAATCGGTGAGATGACGCCTGTTGGGGCGGCAGGAGGCGCCCTCCAAGCTTATGCGAATGCAGCAAATCCGCATCTGGTATAAAAGCTTTAATTTCTTGTTGTTAAAATGCTCATGGATGTGTCGATGAGGCAATGCAGACCAGAAGAGCAGACGGGCATGTGGATGGGCATGGTACTCGCAAATTTATCGGATGGTTGGAGAATTTACCTTGCTTTTGCACCCCGCAAATACAGAGATACGTGTGGTCTTTTGGAATGTTTGCTGGAAGAGAATTATTTAATGGTGGCGGTATTCATGCAAAGGCAGTCGTCTACTTGAAGGGATTACCACATTTCGTGCCTTGCTTCACGCTCGCGCCTAACGCAGAAAGCAGCTTAGAGGATTGAAAATGCTAAAGAAGGAAAGCCTATTATACTGTTCAAATATCAAGAAACATGAAACTTTGACTTGCAAAAGCCACAACGTGGACAAACAGCTGCTTTACAAATGCTTTCTCTGGGGTCGAACAGAACAGTCAGAGCTGGTGGTTGCACGATGTACAGCGTCTCAACGATGCAACAATCGACCGGTAAAGCTTCCTCAATGACGGACTGCTTAAGGTTTTACAAGTTGTTGGGCACAACTTCTGCGTCTCTGGCTCAGAAGTCTAGCCCAGCCTAGAATATAGAACCTATGAATGTTGGGTCTGTGGCCACTAGGCCTAGCCTACGGTCTACTCTAAATTAGAACGAAAAGTCAGAGGGCACTCGCCCTCATAGACCACCCCAGTTAACCTTCCAACAATGCACCAGTCTCTAGTATGAAAAAATGAGAGTAGAATTGCAAGCACATGAAAACATGAACGCACTTGAGCAACAAGACTGTATCAACCGGAATCAGGCTGCTTGACGATCAAAAAACTGCACCAGGGAAATGGCGAGCTCCTCAAGAAGACTGCGGCGCACTTAAGGCGGCTAAGATGTGTAGTCTCTGTTGGAGACCCTTCCACGATTATTTATCCAGCCGACACAAGTTCACTTCAGTGGTCGAAAATTGCTAGCGTCATTCGGCAATGGATGAGAAGCAAATTTGTGATTCCCGGTGACGAACTGCAGTCTGCACGTTCACGCTTTAGCGCTGTGCCTAGAATCACCTTTGCTAACGGGCTGCACTACCCAAGGATCGGCAAGTCTACGACATTTATTTTTCGCTTCATATTGGTTTTGAGTCCTAAATACGTGGTCTGGGACTTCTACGATGGAACTGTGCAGAATGGTGTAATCATAGTTTCATCCCACACCAGCCTCCACAGCGCGCACCTATGCTCCCATGCGTGCAATCCATTGGCTTATCCATGGTGTCCCTGGGAGATTCACCTTCAGGTATCCTCTACAAGGCTGCTTTTATCTAAGATGAGCTGGTCAGAGTTGGAACCTCAACGATGTGAGGCAACGTGTTTTACGCGGAGGTCTCAGCAGTGTAGTGAAAGAAGACGACTCTTGGTATGCAACTCGCCTTTTCGGCTTTGAACTGTGTTGTTAATAAGCCGATTCTATCGAATATTGAACTGCAAGTGAACAGGAATGAGTACATATCGAGGGGGAGGTCGTGGATGTGCTGAATAATCAGGAATTTGCAGCAGCAGGCTGGCCTTCTGCTGGTCATCCAGCGCATCGTATTGAGCTGATTAGCGGGTTACCCAGCTTTGTTCCGCAGTACTGGACGCTTCACGCCATGGTAAAAAAATGGCGAGGCAGGCTGATGACTATCTGGGCAAAAGCAGAGTGCGGTAAATGGCCAGCGCCAATTGGCGCAATTTACTGCTATTGATAAAAGAAGGCAGGTAACACATCATCATTAATTTTCAAAGCCCCTTAAAACAAAGCGCTATGACAAGGAAGTTCGCGCTGCCTTATACTGGTGCTTTACATAACAAATTGCACAGCTTTCTTGTTTGCTCGACTTCCAACTCCACAAACGATTTCTTACAAATCCGCATCCACCCTAGTGACTGTGTTCCACATTCACACTGTTAAATTCGAGTAGCTGTGCATGGCTCTTCACATGTTAATGCTCCTAAACGGCTGCGACGGCAGCTTAATCGGAATTTCAGTGAGATAATGGAAAAGGGCTGCATGGCTGTCTACATTGTTGATGCCTTGGTATTTCCCCAAGCATCCAAGAGGGTCTACATGGCCTACAGCAATTCAGTGGTTGGGGGCAAGCAGTGCTTTTTGAAGGCATACAATTGTTCGATTCTATGCTAGCGATTGCATTTCCAAGAATCTACGTTGGGCTGCAGGAATCGAGCCAGACTCAGCAACTACTGAAGCAACAACAGCATGGCCTTTACCTTTGCGCAGGCCCACGGAAGTTGCGAAGCTTGTACTGCAGAATTCTTTCCGATTGTTCAGAGCGGTTTTCCTTTAACTGGCCTACGTGAACATATGTAATCTGTGACCCCTATAGAGGAGGCTTCTGTACATTAAGGAGCTTATTCTCCTCTTTGCAACTCCTTCGGCACTTGTGCTGTCCGGTCGTGAGCATCAGTGCTTTAATGCAATGAATCCAAGTGAAGGCGCAGTGGGTGCTATTTCCTTCCAACATGCTATCCATTCTGCAAAGCATCAAATGATTACTTGTTATTCTTGGTACCGCGCGGAAACGGAACAGCTGTATCCATTGCAGGACAAGTACCTTTCTGCGGCCTAGCGGGACGCGAAATAATAGAGCTCGCACTGCTTATATGGGCATCCTTTTACTATTCAGGCCGACTCTCTGCCTTTATTTGACCGTCCGAAGGGTGTGGGGATTTAGATAATTGGCTAGGCCTGTTTTCTGACTTGGGCGGCTCCTGAAAAACTATTGTGCAGTGAATTATATTAGCAGCTTTACCAATGAGGTTGCCACCGCGCTCTTACGGCGCCCCGACAACTCGCTATTGCGCAGCGCAGTTGCTCTTGAATGTGATGATGAACCTTTTTTTACAGAGAATGCGTTCGTTCTACACTTCTGGATCTAGTCATCCGCTTTTATTGCAAAAGTCTACGATGGTACATGGGTGAAGCACTACCATATCGCGGACGGCTGTCCGTGGTTCACAACAAAGTAATGAGTCTTCGTGTGTGCAGCCCGCTTGTACAGTTCGATTTTGCCTCGCATTGCCGCTTTCCGCAGGACCACATCCCCATCTTCTTTCGGGTCCTAGCGGGATCCACATTGCAGTAGAAGAGCTATCACGATCTTTCAGGTGGACTGGGATGCGGTCGGCGTCAGACGAGCGTGCACTGTCCCAATCAGATTGCCAGCAGCTGAAACATGCTATGTTTTAAAACCGGACCTTTAGCACAATCAGCCGGTTCCCGAAAACACTTTAACTGATATCGCTTTGAACATCACTGTTGGACTTCGGCACAGCAAGGAGAAAAGGGCATCTCGTGGTTCTTGACAAACAGACTCGGCAAGTATGCTCACGTCGTCCTTGGTTCAAACTGTCTTAGAAGTCAGAGAGTCATGCAATCATCCTAAGCTAGTGTTTGGAAACTTCACAGATTCCCCAGGAGTATCATCACGGATGAGAATACGAAGCCCGTTATAGCGTTCTAACGTTCGTCCATGACTCGCCTACACATTGACCATGATATAGCAAATCACCCTGAGACAGTTATGGTATTTGGTACTCTCTGCTCACGTAACTCCAGTTGCTTTCTTTGATGTTTTATCTTCTGTTGAGCGCACTGAAAAACCAACAGTGCACGACTCTACCATTCCTCTCGCGAATTGTCGGTCTACACGGAGAACCTTCCTTCCGATCTGGGCCTGCACTTGGTGTTCCGGGGTCAGCAGTCACCCCTACCGGCGGAGCTTTGTAGAGGACAGCTGGCTGATGCATGCGGATGAGTGCGGAAAACACAAAAGACCAGCACGGTATTATGATAAGCGCCGGTGCTTTGTGTGTTCTGAGCCTGGAGATTTGATCATTTGAGATCATAAGACATTATAAGGAAAACTAGACGACGACCAGATGAAGACGTTTGCAGCCAGGTGGTTGTAACCATCCTCTCATGAATCAGTGCTGCTGTTTTATCGATTCCCCCCCAAATCTCAGGTACCACAGGACTATCAATTTAGGCTTTCTTAAAATGGCTCAGAGCTCCTGATAGATTTGTGGGCTTTGCCGCAGAGGGCGATCGCCCCTCTTGAGGTGATGTATTCACATGAAGCTATAGATGTGCTGGGTTCTGAGACTAGCGAGCGCTGAAACAATACATTAAACAGAAGTTTATCGTGAAATGAGGTCCGAGGGAACGCCGACCTTAGTTGTTGAGAACAGTTCAGCTACGATTTCGCAGGCTGCAGGGAACTTTGTGGCATCACGGGAATGAAAAAGCCCCCTACGCGGGTTATGGCGCATTAAAGGGAGCAACAGAGGACAGCCTCTTAGTTCAAGGTCAAAAAGTGCTATCGCGACTCAGTACAAGATGTTTAGCGGATCGTCTAGGCACGGAAAAATTGCGAAAGTTCAATCTGCCTGTTCACGTTGGGGCAGTCTGTGTTTGTTCGAAGAGTGTTAATTGCCATAGACAGTGCTCCCCGCGTTCCTTCAATTGCCCTTCCCCATTGGATGCTTTGTCTGGATCTGCTACCGCCAGGTTCTGCTTGAAACGCTGCCATATATTTATGCTTAGTCGTGCTCTACGCCCTGATTGATGTCCAGGCACGTTCAGACATGTTGTCTCATCACATTCCCTACTGCCTGCTCTGCGTCTTTAAATTCAACCGCGCAGCATACAACAGTTGTGTTTGCATGCAGATAATTTCATCATAGGAGCGGAAGAACCTGCATCGGGCTGTGTATTGTGTTTTCCCGTACACAGTCTACTTGTCTTCTGCTTTTCTTGTTGCAGGGGGCTGACTTACTGCAGCAGCCAGACGACCGCAGGTCTGCACGCCGCTGTGGTCGCCTTGGTTTGGTCCCCCATTCGCTGTTGGCTTGTATGTGTCTTTCTTGCCTCCTATGTGGCTCTCACTTTCCTATTCTACCTCGAACTCTTATAACTTCATGGGGAGTGGCGATAGGGCGGCAACTCTTCCGCCATCCTTCGTGCCAGCTGTCCTGACGTGCAGGAGCGGAATAACGTGTCTGGACACGGTGAACGTAAATACACTTTCCCACTAGATATCTTACTTTGGGGGCCCAAGGCAAAGGTTAGCCAATGACAAAGTGCTCGAAGGTGCAAAGCTACTCTGGATCACCATACGGAAGCTCTCAATTCCCTTGACATATATCAACGCTTTGTAGGAAGCTATCAGGCGTCTCTGGCGAAGGAATTTCACCACTCTTTGGCACTGCCCCATGCCAAGAGTGGTGACGACAGCAGACAGGTAGGCCCTGTGCTCCGGAAATCTACGCACAGCAGCTGTTACTCGGCACGTAGCATCCGTAATTATCGTGTGGAGTTCGACCAGCTGTGTGAAACGTAGTCCTTTAGAACAGGCGAGCCAAATCGTTGGTACTTCAGTAGGCCATAACTGGAGACAGCAGCTGTGACAGAAACCCGCCGAGTGTAGCTGGTTCCCCTGAAGAGCCGCATTCCATGTGCGAATAGCTCAAGTTAAGCGCGTATGGGTGCTTTCAGAGCATACCGAATGCGTTGAATGGTGCCGTACTCAAGCTAAATAAGCGCAAAAGTCTGCTGCCAAGCTGGTAGCTACTGATATTTGGAGCTGTGCGGGCACCGCGGGAGGACGAGTACTATTGATGAAGCCTAGAAGCCCTCCAGGATGCCCGCTTTAGGCGAGATACCGGCTTTGCATCGCTTTGTTTTCATTCGAACCATGGTGGCCTCTTACGAGGAAGTGTAGCAACCTAAGATGGGAGCCAATATGTACTGTTCTACGCCATCCTGGTGGCAAGCAAAAGGGTTACCTAGTCACAAACAGAACCTCAACGGCCCCCGCTCAGTATGCTGTGCATCTCCATGGCCCAAAGCCTGCGTATAAGTGCTGCAAAACATGGCAGATCAACGACTCGCGCATTTTTTCCGTGAGTGTGAGCGGATGCCTTTAGGCAGAGGGGAGCGGGGGGGCGGGGCGGCCTGCGGATGGGGTAGCAGATGACTGGCGTGCGCGTCTCAGGAATGACACGCGCTTATTGCAGGCTCGAGCGGGGTAAATAATCCCGAGGAGGCCAATAACAAGAGGATAAAGCATTGACAAAGTGAAGGAAGCGCTTCTCAAAGAGGAGGCCACAGTAGAGTGACACTGGTGTCCTCGATCGGGGGGCTTAGTAGAGGGTTTGTTTGTTGCAAAGGAGGCAGCAGGGGTGCCACCAGCAGCAGTACCGTGTTTGTTGCACCGATTTTATGTAATGAATGGCAGCAGTCCACATAAAATCACGGGTTTCTTCCATTTCATGCGACCCCTCAACAGCATGGACCGGCGGCTCTATTGGATGCTCCGTTGCGCTGCCAGTAGGAGGTAGGGGCTTGAACTGTTGTACAGATGTAGGTATCTGCGTTCGTTTCTTTTGCGAGGCGTGCGCCTTCATCTGTCTCCTGTGGCGCTTTCAGTTCCCTTCCTCCCTTTGCTTTTTATTCTCACCGCTTTCTCGAGGTTTTCCGGCCGCTAATTCTCACGCTTGCAGCAAGAGAAGGAGAAGCAAGAGCGGCGACGGTAGAGTACCTCGTCAGCTCCATGAGCGGCGCATGTATGTGTTGTTTCTCCCTCTCTCTCTCTTTCTCGTTCTGAACAAGCCCCTCTCTTGTTCGCTTTCCTACGAACTACGGTATTAGCGGCATATTCCTAGGCGTCGTGCTGCAGGCCTTCGCCCCCCATGGATTTCCGGAGCGAGGCAAAACGATTCTGACCCTCGATTTTTCCCCTCCTGGACGAAAAGCTGCGTTTTACGATCTGGCACCGGCATCTTCAGAAACGTCCACAAGGTATTTTGTATATATATGGCTATATATATGTATGACACGTCAGCACCTGCCGCAAGCGTTCGCTGCTCGTTTTTATTCCACGGATACTCGCACACAGGAGGAAGGCCTTCTCGGCACGGGTGCCCAAAGGGGAGCGGGAAGAGGAGGAAGAATCCAAAATCTTTGTAGCCACGCAATAAAAAGGCCCCATGAGTCGACAGAGTTCATGGCTCTGCTCGCGTAGGGGCTTGCGCTGCCCCTTTTATCCCCAGTAGCGTCGATCTGGAAGCAGAAGCAGCCGCAAGGCGGACGGCTTCACATGTTGCTGGCTACGGGAAGCTCTCTGTCAAAGTATCCAGAAGCCGCTCCTCCCTTCGGGGAAGACGGTGAGGGCGGCTCCAGGAGCACGGAGGTTCCCATGACGCCTCTGACCTCGCCGCTGCCTCCGCAGCCTCGGCAGCAGCCATGCAGTTTCTGGTCGTATTCAGACACTCCTCCCGAAGGAGGCATGCAGGATGGCGGGAGTCTCTCCTCTGGACTTGAAGGCAGAGGCAGCGCCGCAGTGCAAGCGGCGGGAAGAAGGCATGCAGGAGGCAATTACATGGGGTACTGGCAGGTAGGCGTCGAAGGAGGGGGGTCTGCACCTCCAGCCGCCAGCACCCATAACATTACTCCCCTAAACACTCCCTCTTACGGGATATTTATGGAAGGGGATTTTGCGACTGCAGCAACAACACCAACAGCAGCAGGCGACGCAGCGGCTGCGCAGCATGCGTGGGGAATCATCAGAGGGCCGTCTTGCCGATGCGCTGCACCCGACGCATGCGGTTTCCACTGTGGTGTCACTTCACCTTACACGATGAGCATGCAACAGAAGTCGCCTCCTCTGCCACAACGCCCTTCTTACTATGCCTCGCCGCTGGAAATTAGCACTTTCGTAGAGCCCTCTGCTTGCCACAACATTCAGGGAGAGCGCGCTGCTCAGGGTGCCCTCATGTTGCCGCATCATCATCAGCATCATCAACATCCACATCCTCATCACCAGCATCATCATCCACCTCCTCATCATCAGCAAATGCTGGAGCATGTAGTCCATCAGCAGGCATACCAGCAGCAGACTCATCAAGAGGCCTCTGTATACCCCGATCCTCAGGCAACGAAAGTCATTCTTTCTGCTCTCCGTGTGCACCTTGCGGCTGTAGTTTCCGAGTTGTTTCGTGCCGCAGGCTGTTCTGCGCGTAGCTGTTTCGCAACGGCGTCTTTGCAGCAGCAGCAGGAGCAGCTGCAGCCTTCGTTCAAGAAGTGGCAGAAGGAAGGCAGCAGCCCCTTCGGCACTAGCAGCACTTCAACTACAAGCGGGAGTATCGAGGATGAGGACGATGCTGCTTTCAGCAGCGGCAACAGCACCACGTGCAGTGCTTACGGCTTGCTCAGTGGATCCGCAAGATCGATCAAGGAGCGACATTCATACGAGGCAGCAGAGACAGTCGCCTGCTCCACCACGCCAAGGAGAAAATGCCGCCTACCTCCAGAAGCGCACGTCTGCTCCGCAAGCAACGTTCCATCAGCAGAAGCAGCTGCTGCTACTGCTGCAGAAGCAGCAGCTGCTACTGCTGCAGCTGCTGCAATCACGCCATCCACGGAGGAAGCTTTCCATCTGGCATATATAGCCGGAGGCTCCCCGCAGGAATTAGGACGGTACCTCGCGATTTTGCTGCCCTTCTTGTCAGCTGCGCCGCATGAAATAAACTCCATGAGTCCTCATTGCCTTCTCAACGCGCGAACGGATCTCCGCGCATTGCAGAAAGAAATGCTGCAGCATCAGCAATTTCCACAGCAACACATCATAGATCTGCAGCAGCACCAGCTGCATATTGCACTTCATCCCATACAGCAGCAGAATCCGATGCCACAACAGCCACAGACTTTAACGCTGCAGCACGAGCAGCAGGTTACCATACAGCAGCAGCAACAGTCGATGCAGCAACCGATGATGCAGCAACAGACGATGCAGCAACAGACGATGCAGCAACCGATGATGCAGCAGCAGTCGATGCAGCAACCGATGATGCAACAACAGTCGATGCAGCAACAGACGATGCAGCAACCGACGATGCAGCAACAGACGATGCAGCAACAGTCGATGCAGCAACAGACGATGCAGCAACCGACGATGCAGCAACAGACAATGCAGCAACAGTCGATGCAGCAACAGACGATGCAGCAACAGACAATGCAGCAACAGTCGATGCAGCAGCAGACGATGCAGCAACAGTCGATACAGCAACAGACGATGCAGCAACCGACGATGCAGCAACCGACGATGCAGCAACCGACGATGCAGCAACAGTCGATGCAGCAACAGACGCTGCAGCAACAGACGCTGCAGCAACCGACGATGCAGCAACAGATGTTGCAGCAGCAGACGCTGCAGCAGCAGATGCTGCAGCAACAGCCACTGCTGCTGCCGCCATTACAACAGCAGCAGCTAGCTCCTGCAGCGCAGACGAGCTATGCAGTAGGCTGCTGCAGAGTGCTGGCCGATTCTACATCAGTAGCAGCAACAGCAGCAGCAGGTGCACCGAGTGGTGCTTTCAGCAGGAGCCCACTGGCAGAGCAGGGTGAGTGCTGATGCGTAGATGGGGTGTCTGGAAGTGCATTGTTGCCTTTAATGTTTGGTGGCTTGCCGCTCGCAGTTTTCGCATGCGATCGTTGAAGGCGCTGCTGCTGTTGCTGCATGCACATTCACATCCACTTTTTAAATTAACACCAAAAGTGCCCTTCACGACTCGCTTTGTTTTCGCGTTTCCTTGCTTCGAGGGCGTTTTGTGTGGGGAGCCTGTCCTCTGATCCACGAGGACGCGCAAGCACGCTACTGGAATTTCTCTCGTTTTTGTCTTAAAAAAGGCGTGTGTGTTTTTTCTGTGACGCTGTGTGTTTTCTCTGCCCCCTTGGAGGCCTTCCGCTTTTCGCCTGGATACGTCCGCCTCAGCATCCTCGCGAGGATTTTGCTTGCTGCAGACAGAGCAGAAATACGGGCAGGGGGCGTTGGAAGGAGGGGATACTAGTGATTGTGTTTGTGTTTATGGTGATTGTGATTGTGTTTGTGTTTGTGGTGGTGATTGTGTTTGTGTTTGTGGTGGTGATTGTGTTTGTGTTTATGGTGGGGGTGGTGTTTGTGTTTATGGTGGGGGTGGTGTTTGTGTTTATGGTGGGGGTGGTGTTTGTGTTTATGGTGATTGTGTTTGTGTTTATGGTGGGGGTGGTGTTTGTGGTCGTGGTTATGGTCGTTTTTGTGGTGATTGTGATGGTAGCTTGTAAGTGCGGTATTCGCTTTTGTTCTTGCAGGTTGGGGGCATGCAGGGGCCCCTCCAGCGGGGCCCCCGCATGGGGAGAACGCCACTGCGGATCGGAGTTGCTGCGCTTCCTGGCCGATGGAGGGGGGCCTCTCATGGGGCCCCCCTGCTGCGTCATGCTGCTCCGAGGGGGGTGGCGGGGGTGGCAGCTTTGCCTACTTGAGCTCTGCAGCTGCTGCTTCTTCTGGGGAGTCGGCGTGTGCGGCCGAGTGCAGCAGCCCGAGGACTGCGGCAAGTGTTCAGGAACTGCTGCCTGGTTCGATAATGCAAGCCTCGCTAGCTTCTCCGAGGGCAGCTGTCGCAGCTGCACGAGCAGATGCGCTCATGCTGCCTTTGAGTGCAGGAGAAGGAGGCCATGTCGGGGGTTCTTCCCCTTTCTACGGACAGGATAGCTTGCCAGTGACTCCTCCAGGCAACAGCCGCATGGTGGGGATGCCGTCGTGGAGCGAAGACGGGGGGGGGAGAAGAAGTCTGGGGAGTGGCTCCCAGACTTCTCCTCCCCTTGGAGGAGGCCTTCTGTCTTTGGACACCTCGACAAGTGCAAGTGCTCTGACGACACCCCCCGCGTCTTTGTTTCCAGTTTCTCCCTCTTCTTCCGCGACAACGGCTGCTCCCAGCTCGGCAGCAGGAACGCCCACAGCGTCCGCTGCTGCTGCTTCTGCTGCCGCTGCTTCTGCTGCTGCAGCGGTCTCCTCACTAGGAGCTGCTGCGCCTTCGCTCGGAGGGGGCCTCTCGCACTCCTGGATGCCACAGCAGCAGGCAAAGAAGAAGGTGGCTCCAGCAGAGTTGGGCAGCGTGATTTCGGCAGAAGGCCTGGGGCGCTCTCCCCGTGGCAACGTCAGGGTTTGCCACAGCACTGCACACAATGCGTGGCTGGTCCTGTGCTGCGCTGGAGGTGCTGAGAGTCGTGCTTTCTCTATCCAGCAGCTCGGGAACGAAGGCGCAAAGAGGGTTGCCCTACTGTATGCTGCCCAATGTAAGGAAACAAGCAGCAGCAGGCAGAGAGAGATCGACAAAGCGATAGGCACACAGATACAGAAGGGAATAGGCACGCAGAGAGAGAGGGGGCAGGAGAGAGAGAGAGAGAGAGAGAGAGAGAGAGAGAGAGAGAGAGAGAGAGAGAGAGAGACAGACAGACAGACAGACAGACAGACAGACAGACAGACAGACAGACAGACAGACAGACAGAGAGAGAGACAGACAGAGAGACAGAGAGAGAGAGAGAGTACAAGGCGCTGTATGCGACTTCTAACTTTTGCGCATGTGGTTCATGTTCCCAAATCGTTTTCTTTTGGAGTCTGCATTTTTGGCCTTCAACAATAAATATATAGATAGATGTATATTTTTTTGGGATGCCTGTTTCTTTATTTGCCCGCACATGGCTGTTAGGGGGGGTGCCCACGTACGAGTGTGTCCAGGTGTATATACATAGGGGGTTTATTGGTGGTGGCGAGGCTGCAAGTGTGTGCGCAAGTCGTTTTTGTCCTCCCGTCTAAAGTGCGTCATTTGAAGGATCTTTGTCTGGGGAGTCTCGTTCCCCCATGCGTAGCACCCGTTTCTGTCTCTGTTGCTGCTGCAGGCCGTCGACTGCTGAGCAACCGCAGGGCGGCTGCAGTAAAAGCGGCAACGGCGTCAAGTGCGGTGTCTCTTGGGCCTCATGACAAGGCCTCGAAAGTGAAAGGCATTGAGGCCTGTGCCAGTGGACTCCTGGAAGCGGATTTTGGATCCTCTGGACCTGCAGGAGGCGCATATAACCTTGCCAAATGTGCGGGAAACGCGTCGTATACAACCCGCAGTGTAGGTCTCATGTAATGCTCGTACGAAGGAGGGGGGGAGGGGGGGAGAAGCGGCGGTCTGTTTTGCAGGCACGTGCAGACTGCAAAAGGTTGGCTGGCTGGCTGGCTGGCTGGCCAGCTAGCTAGCTGACCTTGTTAAAATGCGGGAGCTGTGTGCATTGTCTTTTTCTGTTTTTCTGTATGTTTCCGAGGGGGTGCTGTGGGGTTGCTGGCCTCGTGTTCCCTCACGGCGCCTTGACTCCTCTCAACCCGCCAACAGTTACCTCTAGGCATTCGTGAAGGGTGTGTTGAGTAATCTTGATGGTTGTGTGTCGCCGTTGGGAATTTAGTTTTGCTTTATCTTTTCTTCTAACCTTCTATATATATATATATATTTCCGTCTCTCTATCTTCTTGTGGGGGTACAGCCCAGTGCGTGCGTTATAGTCTGCTTGGTGTGAGCACCTCTGGTGGCTGGCCACCTAGGTCTCTCTTCACGGCTTGGCGTTTGTAGGTGCTCTCTGCTGTTGCTTTTTTGTGCAGGACGTGTCGGCAAGTCGTGTAGCCCGTTTGAGCCGTCGTGCGATGGAGTTGCCGTATGTGCATGGCGTTCGGTTTGAAGCGGAGACGTTTGCCTGGGTGGCGCACATGCAGGGGGAAGCCCGCCGCTTCTTGGTCAAGAAGCATGGCTTTATCAAATCAAGACTCTGTGCTGTCGAGAAGATACATGCGTGGCGCGCCACGCTAGCCCCAGCCTTGCTTGAGGCTGAGCTCAAAGGTATATCGGCGTTGAGTGAATTCGGAAGTTGCCAGTCTTTAACACCCGGGAGGGCAGGGGGGTGGGGTGGAAGAGATAGCCGTTTTTGGAGCGAGTTAGACGAGTCGAGAGAGGGGATTTATGCTTTTGGTCGATGCGATGTTTTTGTGCTGTGTTTCCTGCAGTGGAACAAGAAGTGCTGGAAATGCTCCGTAACTCCGCGGTTAAGGCAGCGACAGTCGAGCAGGAGTTCTCCGGGATGTCGACATCCCCTCTGTGCCAAATTCTTGATCCTGCGGAGCCCCCTGGTGCTCTTGATCTCTGAGGCAGCTGCAGCGGATTGCGTTGCTTCTGCTCGCGTTGGCAACAGTCCTTGCTGCTTCCGTCTGCTGCCTGCAGAGCTGCGTAAACAGAGCACTTTCCCAGCGAGGAGTTCTCACGGTTTCTCTGGCCAAGGAGTGGTGTGTGTAGGCACGCGTTGGCATGTGTGTCAGGCGCTCCTCTTGTCTGACCACTGGGAGATGTCTCCTTTTCTAGGGTGTGCTGGAGGGAAAGGCGCCAGTTGATGCAGACCTCGTACCGATACTGCCGAGATAAACATTCCAGCTTGCTGCAGTGTCATATCAACGTGCTGCACTCTACACCTCGGGGGTGCCAGGGCGCTCATCTGGTGCGTGTGTGTGTGCGATTGCCACTCAAATCGAAGTCTCCTCCAGCGAGAAAAAGGCAGCAACAGATCTCCCTGTTTTTGTTGCCCCGTAGGGCGCACGTGTCCCTGATGCGCATGCCGCGCGTTGTTTTTTAAGGGGCTAAGATGAATTTTGCTTTTAAAGTGCTATTTGCGACGAGAACTTGGCGCGCAAGCTCGCGTGCCAAGCTTTCCGTTTCCCGTGACACCCTTTAGCTACGCCTATTCCCCACAGAGAGTGCCTCGTGCTGCTAACTCCGCACCAACAGCAGCCTATACACCCTAAGGCTGCTGCCCCAGAAGGGGCGGCGTCAAGCAGAATCCGTAGGCCCCCTGCCCCCCAGGCATACACGCTTCTGCTCCATATGTAAACAACCGTGTATCTACGCAGTAGGGCCCCTTAGCTCAGCCGGTTCTTTTCGCAAGAATGATGCGCACTTGGGGAGAGGGAGGGACGGGGGTGCAGCAGCCAGGCGCTGTTGCATGTATCGCAGTAGCGGCTCCCGGGGCATCCCCTTGCCGCACCAACGCGGTACTCCTTTATCTGTATGAACCCAGACGCGTTTACAGCGGAGCCCGCTCCATGTGCTCGCAGAAAACAGCCGAACGGGAACTCAGTAGCTCCTACCGAAGAGGCACCACCGCTTGGCAGGACGACCCGTAAAGAAACAGCGCGTGCCCTCCGGCATGGGGGGTTGCTCGAAAGGAATGCACAAGGTTTTCATAGCGCCAGTCATTCCGTCGGCATTCTCGCGAGCCTGAGGCGTCACATTCAAGAACACCACTCTTCACCCCCAGACGCAATTAGAGACGCGCACAGAAGGCCATGATGCATGCACCGCCAGCAGCGAGGAACACCGTGAAGAGTGTAAAATCCTGCATAGCGCCTCATAGATTATAGTCCCGCTAATGGACGCGACTAGCTCTGCCCGGGGCACATGGCAGGGAGGCTGCATGACATGTAGACCTGCAAAGTCTGTAGAGGCAACTGCTGCTGCTGCTCAGCATCGCGAGAAAAGCAGTGCAAGGCAACCGGTGCAGCCGCCTGCCCAGGGAAGGAGTGGGTTGGAGTGGTGTACCTGAAGCTCCGAAAGCCGCTGTGTCTCTTTCTTGATTTCGGTTTCTGTCTGGGGGTCCTCGCACCTGCAAGCGCAGCAACACTCCCAAAAGACGAACGTTCCTAAACGCCTCGTTGCTGGCCTCGGTGCATGCAAATCTGCGCACGGAGGTATCGCGGCTCCAGTTCGCACTCGTGTGTTGGAGCTGCCTTTCCTGCCGGCTGCTATGCCACGACAGACTCGGAGGCTTCGGCCCCGAGGCGAAACGCTCTTAGTTTGAGGGAGAATGCTCTTAGTTTGAGAGAAAATGCTCTTAGTTTGAGGGAGAACGAGCTAGAAGCTGAAACCCTACCATGGGGCAAGGATAAGATGCCTTCTGTTGAGAGCAGGCATGACCTCTTCGAAGGTTGTGATCTTTTCAATAGATGCGTCGAATCTCGCCTTCGCCTTTGTGAATAGGGCCTGCTGAATGGCATCCAGCAATGCGGGGATACGCGTTTCCACATCATCCCAAGGAACATTCTCAGCAGACGAGGTGTCTCTCCGCACAACCCGTGTCTGCCGGCTTTCCACGTCTCGGGGGCCTATCTCCAGCCGTAAAGGCACGCCTTTGAGTTCCCAGTCGTTGAACTTCCAGCCCGGCGTATAATTTGTCTGATACAAGCCATCCAACAAAGTACATATACATATATATGTATCTATATATGCATACATGTATATGTTTCCATGTATATGGATACACGTATATAGTATATGACTTGACAGGAAAAAGTGCGGCACAAGCGGAGAAACCGGAAGGCGTAAATCGCAGACAAAACTCTCGAAAAAGCTACAAAGGGAGAGCGAGCAAGCACTTCAAAAGCAACAGAGAGCGGGCGCGCGCGCGCGTGCGAGAGAGAGAGAGAGAGAGAGAGAGAGAGAGAGAGAGAGAGAGAGAGGTGTCTGGCCGCACAGCACCCTGCGAGACAGAGCTCTAGAGAAGATGAGAGGAGCAAGAGAGGTGGGCTCTTGACAGGGCAAGCAAGACACGTGGAGTGTGGCAGAGAACTGCTAAGAAGGCGACCTGGGGATCTTCAAAAGAGAAGAGAGCTTACAATTTCTGACCGCCTAGCACAACACCCTAGCCAGTAAAGCACCCATGAGGAGTCAGGAACAAAAACTATTTAAAAATGGGCTGATGAGGCGTGGCAGATGAAAAAGAAATGATGGAGTTATGTGCAAACAGCGTCAGAGAGAGAGAGAGAGCGAGAGCGAGAGAGAGAGAGAGAGAGAGAGAGAGCGAGAGAGCACTGAATGATGTAAGTTGCATGAGCAGACATACCCTATCGTCAACCTTTACGCGCACACCGACAGCTTTTAGAGACTGTTCGACTTCGCGGCACTTGGCGAGAACCTCAGCGCTTCCACTCTCCTGCGTCGAGAGGCAAAAATGGCAGCCGAGAGCAGCGCAGCCACAGGCCTACATGAGGGCTCGGCGCGACAAAGCAAATCAGCAGACAGTTGGAGAGAGGGTGCAGAGCAAGGAAGGCACGAACAAGGCCTGAAAAAAGAAGTTGGAAGCTTGCATGTCACAGAAGCAGCAGCAGGGGGGGGTTATGCATGCATAGAGAGAAGAACTTGAGAAGCAAGCGGGGCAGAACCGAACGAACGGCGAGGCGGATTTTTCGCAACCATAGCACTGTGCAGAGACAGCAGGAGGTCGGGTGTGAACTAACTTTGAAGACGATTGGAATAATGACGGCCTGTACAGCTGCAATCCGGGGGGGAAGCACCAATCCCTTGTCGTCTCCGTGTGTCATAATCATGACGCCAAGGGACCGCGTCGTGCACCCCCAACTCGTCTGGTGTGCAAACTGTTTTTCGCCTTTCTCGTCTGAAAGAGAAGCGGCACATTGGCAGCAGGATCCAAGACACTCGCTCAGGCTTTCCCCTAGGATGGCAGCAGAGAAGACCACGCGATCAAATCCACACCTTCCGTGTCTCCCCCCGCCACACAAACAGAGCAGCGACACACGACCGAGGGAAGGGCGCCTCGAAAAAAGACACAAGCGGGAAGGGGCAGCAGGAGGAGCCTGTCACTCCCGACCAACGCTGTCGGACTAGCCGGCGGTGCAGGCACTGGCGAGGCAGGAAGTTGAGCGAAGCAGCACCAACAAAACAAGTAAAGAATCACACCGCGCGAGCAGAGGCAGAGACACAACACAGACCGACCTAACAGGGCGCTCTAGAGGACAGGAGGCCGCAAGGCGCTAGAGGGAACAACTATCAGCAAAAAAGCCAAAACTAGCAGCGCATGCGCCGAAATCAGCCTAACCCTCGAACTCAATCCCAAACATCTTCGAGAAGTTCTGTCCAAGCAAATGCGACGTTGCTGCCTGGATGCCACGTCCTGTCTCGGGAACGAATCCCTCTATCGTCGTGGTCTTCTTTCCTCCCGCAAACTTTTCGTGCTCGCTCTTTTCGCCCTTGATAACAGGTACAGCCAAATAGTCCTCGTACCACCTGATCAGGCAGCCACAAAAGCACAGCACCCACCGGGTTAACCGGCGAAAATACATGCAGCAGCAGCAAGTGGAGCAGCATTTGCAGGTGACTGGGGGGTCCAGCACCCTGAAAGACTATGGACTTAAGTAGCGTTGCGAAGAAGACTGCCGTTCAAAACCGCATGCGGGAAGACACAAGAGGGGCTGGAAGGGTTTACTGTCTGTAGAGCTCCAGGATATCGAGAACGAGTTTGAACGCCTCCTCCTCGGTCGCATGCGCCGTATGGCCTTCCTGCCACAGGAACTCTCGAGTGCGAAGGAAGGGAGTGGGCTGCTTGAACTCCCACCTGCAGCAAAAGCACGCAGCGCATCCCCGACGCTTCGCCAAAAGTGCATTCGCTTTACATGCTCAGGCCCTGCAGTACAAGGCCTTGTACCTTTTCCGCGTATGAAGCTTTCCGCGAATGCGGAGACACCCAGCAACAAGAAACTCTCTCTCTGCATCCCTGTGCGCTAGAGCACGCTCTCGAAGTCTTGCTCAAACATGCTGCCGCTACAAAAATGCCAGTAGCAGGTGCACTGCCAGCTAAGGCTGCGAGAGAGACCTTAACGCCACCGCTGACACGTTCTTCCCGCTGGGAAGAAGCCTCACCTGACGACGTTGTTCCACTGATTCAGCTTCAGAGGAAGATCTCTGTGCGATCGGATCCACTTGGCATACGCAGGATACATGATGGTTTCGCTAGTAGGCCGGATGGCAACTTTTTCTGGAAGTTCAGAGTCTCCGTAATGTGTTACCCACGCAACTTCTGGACTGAATCCTGCGACGTGATCCTTCTCCTTCTCCAGTTTGGCCTGGCAAAAAATCACGCAGGGACGTGCACCGACCATGTGGACTGCCGTACGCACTGCATGCGGCAAGAATACACAAATACATGTGCAATACATGTACATGTATTGCACGTGTATTGCTGCTGCTGTTGTTTAGCCTACGAGGTAGGCTGACGCCTCCGCTAAGGGGGAGGATTTAACATCCAAACGGGAGGGCGGGAGCGAGGAGGATCAATTGACTGCAGCAGCGAAGGGATCCTAGAAGCACGATGACTGGGTAGCAGCAAGCAGTCGGGAAAACAAGGAAGGCAGCAGAAAGAGAACAACTGGGGGATCTCAGAGAAAAAGGAAGCTCCGAAGAAAAAATCCCGGAGCGACTGCGTCCGAGCACAGAGGGAGAGGACAGAAAGAGCTGTATACATATACGGCAGGGTGCCTCTTACCTTAGAGACAAACATGGGAAAGTAACAGTTCTCGACGCCTAAGCGCTTAATGCTATCGTCGAAGAACTTCTGCACGGCTTCCCACATCCGATACGCCCAGGGTCTAATGATGTAGCATCCGCTAATGTCATAATACTCAACGAGCTCGCCACGCACAATCGTCTGAAACATTTACACATACATACATATATTTATATATAATATACACCACCCAAAAGGACTGGACTATAATGCAAGCCGGCTGGCACCCTCAAGTTCCGCATGTTCCCACCAAGCAAAAATACAGACGCATGTACCCATATAAATAGATATATACGCATATAAGTACATACATATACATACATATGTATATACATATATACAGGTACACTGCCGCCTTTTAGACTGCAGAGCATGCGGTGGGGGAGACAGACCGCAAAACAAGCGGAAAAAACGCCAATACACACACTAGAGGGAGGCAGAAAAGAGCAAGGATCGAAGCGCCCTCGAAAAAGACGCCACCTCACCTTTCTCCCCCTTCTTCCCCTGTGTCCACCTCCCCTCCCAACATTGAGCTTTTAGAGACATATAGACACGTGCGCAGCATATTACCTGCGTATACCACTCTGCAAAGTTGGTTGCCTTATGTGCGGTAACTCCCAAAGTGGCTTCAGGCTGCTGTGAATCCTCTTTGCCGCCTTTTGCTGCAGCGCCAGACTTCTTAGCTTTTGAAACTGCGCCGTCTGGACCGTTTGCAGGAGCATCCGCTAAGGCTTGAAGCTCTGAAAAATACGAACACGCACAAAAACATGCATACAATTATATACAAAAAATACATACAAAGACGCACCTACATCCATGCATACATACATGCACACATTGCAACGAGCAGTCTTAGGGTGTTGCTGAAGATGATGCAGGATCAAAGCACCACAGCTGCCGTAAAGAGCTGATCACGACATGCCTTTAAGTCGGGGCAGAGGCGGCAATCTGCACCTGCCACTGCAGACTGCCGCCTCTTCTACCTACTACCCCCTCTCGCACAGGCAGACGCTGAAGGAAGCCGTGTATAAACATCTAGGTCTGTATGTACATATATATATGTATATATATATATACACATATATGTATCTATGTATATACAACATACCCTGGCAGTCAATGAAGGTTATGGTAATCCCTCTTGAAGTGAGAAACGAGATGATGTCTCTTGGTGCGATTTCAAGGCTTTCAAAGTTGTGGAGGGGATGCACCAAGACAGGAGCCGTACTGTCCTTTAGCTTTGCATCAAGCAGCAGCGTCACTTCCTTCCTGATGGAGCAGCCAACAACAGCCACAGGCTACGGGTTGAAGTAAGTGCCTTGCTTCAGCGATACGTATGAAGCATCCAAAGGCAACAAGGGAGGGAGTGCTCGGCATGGTGCCTGGAGAGCAGCATCCTCCGCACTGGCGAGGCATTGCATTCCATCTCACTTTTCATCATTTTGAATAGCGAACGGGGTGACGCAGCCGGGTAAGACGTGTAAAGTGTCCTCAAGGATCTTTTCGTCCGCGAGGCGCAATTTTTGAGCACCAAGTTTTGCCATTAAGCCTTTCAGCGGAGTAGGCGAATCCTGTGTGTTCAGCAACCGCACAGACGAGGTAATTGCTGCAGTAAGCCTTGGGAGTGACATTAGCGCTGTCGCCTTTGGTCCTGAAGATTTTTAGAGAGAATCGCTGGTTGGAAATAGGGGATGGCTTTTCCGCACAGAAACCTCCTTCCCCGCGATCCTCTGCCTCGCGCTGCGAGCATCTGGCGTAAGGCTTACGTGCAAGGCGGTAAGGAGGAAGAGACTGCCCTTTTTGTCCTTGAGGAAGAGATTTTTGCATATTTGAATGCCCAGAGATCCTACAGCCGCGGCTAGCTCCTCGACAGTAGTGGCCTTTGCGTGCTTGTGCTCCTGCGGGAGTTGCAACACAGAGGGGAGTCTGCTTTGCTGCAAGGCAACCTTACAACGGCGGGAAGGGAGAAGCACATTTTAGACACACGCGCAGCAGCAGCAGCATCTGTTTCAGCTGGAGGGAGGCCCTGTCGCTGCTGCAGACATGCGGGAAAGAGCACACGATGCACCAGAAGGGGGGAGTTGAGGGGGAGAAACAGGAGCAGCCGGGGTGGAAGATGCTGAGCAGCAACACTGTTTCTTACCTTGAAAGCGATGCCTGCGCTTTTTAGAGATTCCTTAAGAGCCTTCTCCTGCTGGAGTTGGAGCTCTGTAGGCCTTTCTTTGTCCGCCATTGCCTCGTTCCCGTTGATGCAAGAGACACTGCGACTCGAGCCTGCTATCTGCAGACAGTCCCCTTTGAAGCCACTCGGCGTCGCGCGAGGCACGCTCCAACGGAAGGATCCACTAAAACGGGCTGCGTTGACCGCAGATACCTCAGGGGAAACGTTCTTACGTGGAAAATCTGCAAGAAACGGCAGTGCTGCGGGGTTGGGGAGGAGGAGCTTACGCCAGAGAACGGCTGATAAAGCACAGGCGGTCAGGGAGAAGACGGACTCCCCCCTTCTTAGGAGACGCGGATTCGTAACAATCCTGCAGACATACTGCTGCATCTTGTGAGAAATGCATCAAGACGCATGCGACGTAAACGCATGAGGGCGAGCGGAAGCAGCAGCAGCCAGAAATCGGCGCAGGTGAGATGATCCGCAGCAGCAGCGCCACATATTTCTGCTGCCCTGCAAAGAGGGCTCCGAACACTGCTTGTAGACTCCGCATCTGCCGCTAAAACGGTTATTTTCCATTATTAATGACTTGCCTGAGAAGGAGGGGGGTGTAGGAGGGGTCAAGAGACTGCCGACAGGGGGCATTCTTTAGCCCTTCCAGTCTACCCTCATGATCCTTCAGCAGCGGGGGGGAGCCACCTCCTAGGGGAAGTCTGCCGCTACATTCCTTGTTTCGCCGGATAAAAAGCTGCTTTCTTCGAATCCTCGTACACTGGCCTCCAGCCAGCTTCCTCTGAAACCTCCCTTCGAAGCCGATGCACTGCCTTGCACACACACGTGCCAGAAAGCGGCACTTTTCTGCCTTCGAAGACCCCCAATGCAGACTTTTCTCGCTCGAGCCTTTCGCGTATGAACATCAGAGCTGCTGGGTATTGTGCGGCTGCTGCTCGAGGAGCCTTTCTCTCCAGCAAGCATCCCAGTCTCCTCTTCTTGAACTCCCCCTCCCCCTTCCCGTACAGAATGGTATTACAAGCGCCAGTTGCAGCAACGCGGGGGTGGGCAACACTGCAGCCGCAACACCACCCCGTCCTCCGCGCATGTTGCTGCCATCCAAGTGGCACCAGCAGCAGCACCAGCGGCAGCACCAGCGGCAGAACCTTCAGCACAGATGCTCGCGTGATTTATCTGAATAGTACCACTAGAAGACGCAGCGTGGTGCATGCAGGAGCCGACTTACCGCCCTTGTTTATAGTGCCCCGCCTCCGCCAGTTGCAGCCTCTGTTGCAGTCGCTTTCCAGCAGCAGCAGCAGCACAGACACCTACATGCCTTCTCCCCTAGCCATCAATCTCAAGCACTTGATACAGCGGCGAAGGACGGCCAAACGCAGCAACTACCACCCTCAGCTTCTACCCGTCCCCCCCCCTCCCGCTTTTCCACCATCGACTGGAGTCGCTGCTGCGTCGCCCCCTCTGCCGCAGTCTGCTGCTGCTGCAGCGGCTGCTGTGGGTCAGCAGCAGCTGCAGCAGCAGCAGCTGCAGCAGCTGCAAGACAGCCAGCTGCTGCAGCTGCACGGGGAGGCGCCACTTTATGGTCTTGGTTTCGCGGGGAGGAACGTAGTGGCTCTTGGCGAAGACGCCGATGCAGCAGATGCGGTGTCTCCCACCTTTGCAGCCGTCTCCTCTCTCGAGCGAGTTGCAGTTGCTGCGCTGACTCGCTGGAAAGCAGCTGCAGAGGCTCCCTCGCCCTCGTCACCATCCCCGTCGTCGTCAGCAGCGGCAGACAGAGACGACCAGTCCTTCTGGAAAGAACTCTGCGATCGTCTCTATGCATCCAGAGATGTCATGCCTCTGACCTCCCTGGCAACAGTGCTGCGTCTCATCTGCTGCCGCTATCTCTGCACCGAAGCAGCAGCCTCCCCCTATTTCTTGCGGCACTTTGCCTCCTTCCCCCACCTTCCAGACAGCAGCCTCCCCCCCCCCTCCCCGCAGCAGCTGCAGCACAAACAGCAGCGGCTGCCTTCTCAGAGACCAGTCGCCGCTTCCTTGTTGCTGCCGCTCACGAGGGAGTTTATCGACGATGCTCACTGTCTCTCTGCCGCCGCTGCTGCAGACGTTGCTGCTGTCTACGCTGTCTGCAACGCGTGCAGCGTGGATCTGTTGCAGCTCCTCCTGAGGCGCAGCGTCGACACTTGGCTGCTCCCCGAGAGTGAGCTCGTCGCACAGCGGCAGCAACTCCAGCAAGTAGCGTCATCGCAACAACGACAACAGGTGCAGCTGTTTGCCTCCAAGCCCGATGCAATGACTAGCTTCTCCCCACACGAGTTCGCCGTTTTCTGCTCAGCAGTACAGCACTTGCTGAAGCAAGCGCAGCCGCTGCTGCAGCGGCAGGCACAAGAACGGCATCAGCAGCAGGCACAAGAACGGCATCAGCAGCAGGCGGCTCCTCTGCTGCCTCTGGAGGCAGCATTCTTTCGGAAAGCTTCTGCTTTTCTGTTGCGCTGCACAGACCAGCAGCAGAAAGACGCTGCACAGCAACAAGCCGCCTTGGGCAGCCTTGCCGCGCTTGCCGGGGACGTTTTGCAGACACAGCCTCAGCAGCAGGATACAGAGCTTTTCAAGGCGTGTGTTGAGCTCCTCCGAGCAGCAGATATCTTTGTTCCCCGGAGAGGAGCGGCAAGAGACACAGCAACACACACAACAAAAGACACAGCAACAGACGCGGCAGTCGTAGCATTCTGCTGCAAAGAGACAGCACGCCTCATGGCGTGCCTCAACATCCCCGATACCCACGGAAGCCCTTCCACTACGCCTCGAACGGCTCATCCTCCTCAGCAGCAGCATGCAGAAGCGACCACTGCTACTGCTGCTAGTGCTACTATTGCTGCTGCTACTGCTGCTAGTGCTACTATTGCTGCTGCTACTGCTACGAGTGCTGCTCTGCCCGCGGCAGACACCTCTGTTGAAGCAGTTGAAACAAAACTCAAGGGCTTAAGCCTCCCCTCCAGCCTGCAGAATTTCCCCGGCGCCACTGCTCTGCATCACATGTTGCTTCAAGCCGCAAAACTGCTGCAGCAGCAGCATGAGCATCTGGAAAGCGGGGAAAGCGTCGGAACTGCGCATGTGTCTGCACCTTCAATGGCAGCAGCAGGCCGCTTGCAGTACGTCGCGCTGAGGCGTGCCCAAGTGCCTGCTGCTGAGACGCTGCAGCTGATGCGTTGTGTTGGTGATGCGACAGCAGCAGCCGCTCAGATCCTGATGCAGCCTGCGCTTAAGCGGCGCCTTGGCGAGGGAGTTCACCAGCAGTCGCAACTGCATGCGGAAATGCAGCGACTGCAGCAGCAGCAGTGCCTGGAAAAGGCCTCTGCTCTTTTCACTGCCCCGCAGGCAGCAGAGCAGCGGGAGCTGCAAGCTGCCGCGAGGCAGCTCGTGGAGACTGTGGTGTCTGTCATTACAGCGAGGGGGTCTTCTTTGTTGCCTTCGGCGTCGGATGCATGCAGAGCCTTGTTGCTGCTCTGGCTGGCAGCGGCAGAAAAGGCGCCGGAGGGGAGCTCTCGAAGTCGCCTTCTTGCCCATAAGACGGCGCAACAAGTGAGCGAGCAGCAGATGCACAGGCAATAGGGAGGAGAAGATGCATGCGGCTTGCTCTAGACAGACATTGCCGCTTTCCAGAGGAGCAGTAGCTCAAAGCGTGTGTTGCCTTGTTGGCCTTCTTGAGATGCCTGTCTTAGCCCCTTTTGGTGCGCCTTTTCTTCTTCTTCCTGCTCGTACGAAGTATCGAAACTTGCGAGTCTGTGACTATTGCTCTATATATATATATGTATATAGACCAATATATATATATATGTATATGTGCGTGTGCATGGCGTAATATGGACGCAAGCGGCGTTAGGTGTGAGCTCAACTGCTGCGTCTCCGTAGCCATCTTTATTTTGCAGGATCTAATCGCGGAGATCGTACGCCGCTTCGCGGAAATCTCGCAGCCAGAGAAACAGTTCTTGAGCCAGGCCGTCTCAGTCCTTGGCATCCGGGTAAGTGTTTCTGCTCGTTCGCGTGCTGTTTTTGCTGCTCTTTCAACTTGCGACTCGCTGGATGCGCAGCATTTGCAGTCCAAGAGCCGGCTCCGTGCACGCGTAGCCGCAATTGCAACGAGTTGCAGCTCACTACCGATCCTTACTTGAGGAGGCGGGCGACTGGTTTCTGCCTGCGATGTGCTGCGCAGAATTCCATTCTCTTGTATTACTGCCGAAAGTACGGCAGCCCCCTAAAGCAACGCCTCGCAGCCAAAGCTGCTCCTTGCAGGAAGCAGCTTTAGGCCGCTTGTCCTCTTTTGTCCCCACCGATAAAGAAGCGCAGCAGCTTCTTGCGCGGCAGGAAACACACGAGCACAAAGTGATCTTTCCTCTGCTGTTGCCTGTTTGTCGCTGGAAGGGAGTGCCTCTAGGGTTAAGCGGCAGCAGACAAGTAAGTGTCAAGGCAATGCAGGATGTGTTGAGGGAGGGAGGCAGTGCAAAGGGAGGCGAAAAACGTGTGTTAGTAGCTGCTTTCGAAGCGTTGTTAGCGCGTTGGCGTTCGGTGAGGGGTTCTTGTGCCTTATAAGGGGCCTGCCACATCGAGCTAATTGCTGCTGCTATGCAGGCAGATGGTATTCGTTCCAACGCATTTTTTAGACTTCCTGAGAGTACATGTTGTCGACGAAACTGTCTCGACAGTCGCAGATATGTAGCGTGTGAAGAAGGGCGAGTTTGCCCCTAGTTCATGCGGCCAGCCGCTAGCTTTCCATAGCGAGCGCAGTAGTATGACCAGCAGCTGGCTAGGTGCTCTTCTCTGGGTATCTGTTTATCCCCTCCCCGATCTCCTCAATTAAAGCACTGTAGTGAGCCAGCTTTCTTTCTGCCTCGTAAAAGAAGCGCTTTTGCTGATTTTCAGTTACAACTCTATAGAGATGAAAGACATAATCTGAGGGACCTTTTCGGGGTAGTTGGCGTGGCTTTTTACGATGCCTGTTACGTCGACGTTCTCCACACCAGGGATCGATGTAACTGGAGCAAGTCCTGCCACCTGTAAAGAGTCCACACAACAGGCGTCTTGTGTTTTGTGGCGACACAATGGCAAGAAGAAGGGGGCACACCATCCGTAGGGAATGTGTAGCGCGCGTGCAAAAGACTACCAGTCGAACGCGTTCCAAATTCGCCGTATCAGATAAAGCGTGCGAACAGCAGCATTAGCAATAGCAGCATTAGCAATAGCGCATTAGCTGCAGTAGCAGAATTAGCATTAGCAGCAATAGCAATAACCGCATTAGCATTAGCAGCAGAATTAGCAGTAGCAGCAATAGCAATAACCGCATTAGCATTAGTAGCATTAGCAGAATTAGCATTAGCTGCAGTAGCAGCATTAGCAGTAGCAGCATTAGCAGAATAAGCATGAGCAATAGCAGCATTAGCAATAGCAGCATTAGCAATAGCAGCAATAGCAATAGCAGAATTAGCAGTAGCAGCATTACCAGTAGCCGCATTAGCAGCATGAGCTTTAGCAGCATTAGCCTTAGCCCGCGCAACAAGCAGCGCGCTCGCTGGATATCTTCAGCAGAGGCAGCATGTGTGGACGCCGTTATATACCTGGAGTCTGAATTCCATCCACCTGTACAGGAAGGCAAGCAGCCAATCTGTTCTGCAGTAGACATTGATGAGGCGTCCTGAGGTAACTTGTCGCGCTTGCTTCCACTGCGTCGCATTCATCGAGGCAGGCAAGCCCATGAGCACCACGTCGTGTATGCAGTGAAATTTCCGCTGCATCAAAAGCAGGCACACCGCAAAGCAGACCAACGATAAGCAGGCGTCGTGCACTAAAGAATACAAAACAACAACGAGAAGTTTTACCACCATCACAACCACCACTACCACTACCACTACTACCCCCAGCAGCAACCCTGCACCGAGCAGCGCGTCAATTTAGTGAGTCAGTGTCTCCGTGTTTTTGCAGTATGCATCTTTCCAGAGTCAGCCCCCCTGCCCCCTGCTTGCGGAAGCATCCGCAGCTCCCCTCATCTGCACACACGCCAGAAGGCCAGTGACAGCATCACGACAAACCTTTCTCCATAAAGCTTGGAGACAGTAAAATATGACGCGCGCGCCAATGCTGTAGCCAGCAAGCGTCACTGGCCTTTGCCCTACAGCCTGCGCAACAGAGGCAGCAGCAGCAGCAGCAGCAGCAGTCCACATGACGACCTTAAAGTAGAGCGGAGGATAGGATGACACTGCGCCAAGGAAGGGCAGCAGCCGAATGGTGTGCTCTATTAGAGGCTCCAAGACGGCCCTAATCCCTTCCACACTACTCCCGAAAACGCTACCAATATCAGCAGCAGCACTGAAAACGCAACTACAGCAGCAGCACTGAAAATGCAACTACAGCAGCAACTACAGCAGCAGCACTGAAAACGCAACTACAGCAGCAGCACTGAAAACGCAACTACAACAGCAACTACAGCAGCAGCACTGAAAACGCAACTACAGCAGCAGCACTGAAAACGCAACTATAGCAGCAACTACAGCAGCAGCACTGAAAACGCAACTACAGCAGCAGCACTGAAAACGCAACTACAGCAGCAACTACAGCAGCAGCACTGAAAACGCAACTACAGCAGCAGCACTGAAAACGCAACTACAGCAGTAGCACTGAAAACGCAACTACAGCAGCAACTACAGCAGCAGCACTGAAAACGCAACTACAGCAGCAGCACTGAAAACGCAACTACAGCAGCAACAAGAGCATAGACAATGCATACACCAGCACAACAGAAGCACTGACAACACGAGTACCGACGAAAAGAACAAAGAAGCACACACCACGCAAACAAGTTAGCAACC